TGTTTGTTTAATTAAATATTTAAGTCAGTCATTAATTTTGATTTATTTTTTAATAACTATTAGATTAAAGTTAAATTAAGAGATCAGAGACACTAAAAAGGCAATACATATAAATTATTATATCAAATATACTTTTATATAACTCAAAACGTAATCAAAAGTCATTTATCAAAATCATAATTTTGAAAAGAAATTCATTAAAACTTTTAACAATAGAGAAATGTTTTTAAATATATGTATTAAATCTTTTATAATAAAAATATGTTTCATAAATATGTTTTGTAGTATATTTATGTTTGTCTACAAAATAAATAACTTAATTAATTAATTATTTCTCTATTATAAATACAATTGTTAAAAATTATTATCTAAATGTAATGTTTATTTAACGTTTTATTAGTTTACAAAATTAATTATTGAAAAAAAATTGTTGAAGAAAAGCTACAATAATTGTAATATTTAAATTAAAAACTATAGATCTATAAATGTTATAAAATATATATATATACCGTATTTATGTCTTATCGAGCATTTCATATGTCAATTCAATAATAAAATGCAATTTAATTCAATCCCATCACTCAAATACAGAAAAAATTTTAGATCAGACTTAACACAAAAAAAGTTTTTTTTGTTATTAAAAAACAATACAAACCCTAGAAATTTAAATCTCTATTTCCATATAAATATATGAATAAATTGAATCTCTTATTGTATGTATAGTACGAATATATTATATAATAAATTTAACATATTTTTCATTTCTCTTCTATTTTTACATCAGTTTAAAAATATTATTTTTTTAACAAAACAATTTAATTGGTCTTTCGATGACTGCTTTTTATATCTATCAAAACAATTGTTATCCATTGGCAAACGTAATGCTTATTTTATTACTATATGTTTAAATAGTGGTTTTGTTAGTAATATAAAAAGCTTAAAATATTTATGTAAATAAGACAGGTGTGGACAAAATGTATTGTAATTACAAATAATAAATAAAATTGTTAATATTCATATTTTTATTAAATATTAAATGATTATTACATATTATTACATATTATTATTATTATTATTATTATTATTATTATTATTATTATTATTATTATTATTATTATTATTATTGTATTTACAAGTATTGATATAATATGAACATCAGATAACATCAAATAACATCAAATATGAAAATAATAATAATATAATAATAATAATTCTTTTGTATTGAAAGTTATATTTTTAAAAACAAAAATATATATATAAATAAAATCCTGAAATCTCACGATATATAGAATTTTTTTATATATCATGTAATTCAATTGAAAAAACAAATTTGTCTTTCATTTCATAGCATTTCTTATTAATATTTGTTTAAAATGTGTGTTTATATGTGTGTATGATATGAATGATTTGCATGAAATCGGAATTTATTTTTCAATTGTATGTAAACGCCATACGGATTGTGAGGCAAACAATAAGGCTGTTGTCTGTTGATTGGATGCATATATCAATGGTATGACTGGTTGTGTAGTTATATCGTTGTTATTATTCATGTTATAATACCATCGATGATGGCATGAATTTGGATATTCAGATAATGCACCAGAAATGTTGTCGTTGTTGTTGTCATTATTGTAGTCGTTGTTGTAATCATTGCTACCAATTCTGGTATTTCCCGCAAATTTCTTGTAAAAGTATGTATTGAACAATGAAGACAACGGTTGATAACAAGCATACAAATCATTGATTGGTTTTCTTTGCAAATCTATTGCACTGTTTTTAGTGCATTTCTGTTATGCATTGATTTGTTGTTATTGTTATTGTAATAAAAAAAGATAAATTTAGTTAATTTTAATATGCATTTTCATTGGTATGAAAAATATTCAATAATTTTTTAATGCAAAATATTATATAGAATTATTTCAAATGATAAATTGATATTATTTTTTGTTGATTTACTTACAATTAGATTATCATAATAATTGTAATTAATAATATTATTTTTAAATAAATGTGATTGAAAAGCATTGGTATGATTGGGCGCCGGTACGTAAGCAGTTTCCTTAACCGATGCGAGTCCGCCAAAGTTTTTTAAACGCTTATTTTTACGCCACTTTGCTCTACGATTTTGAAACCATATCTATAAAATATATTTTTAAAATAAATTAAAATTTTTATTTAATTAAATAGACTGATAATAATAATAATAATAATAATAGACCAGCATTTTAGGCATAGGTATGTTTGTTTGGTTAACCAAATAAGATATTTGTTGAGAGTCTGGATAATGGGTTTCATGAAACACTTGTTCCAGACGTTGGATTTGCCACAAATCAAACCGAGTTCTGCACCGTTTACTTGAAGTCTCTTTACATTTCATTTTATAGTATTTTTACAATAATATAATATACTAAATATCTAAATTGATTAATAGATATTATCACAAATAAAAATTAAATTATTTAAGTTTTTTTATGAAAACTGTAAAATCAATGCTTCTGCTATTTGAATCAATTAGTATTAAAAATTCAAATCGATATTACGTTGTATAGCATTTTATTCATTTATATAGCAGTCAAACTAATTTTAAATAATTATTTTAAATACAATTACAATAAATAAGTGTATTTTCCAAATTTTTTACTTAATATAAAATAATTTTTATGATGACAATAATGAAAAATTATGAATAATAAGACAATACATCTAAAAAATTGTTTTACATAAAGTCTTTTTTTAATCACAAAGTGTGTGCTTAACGAATGAAAAAAGTGATGCATTTATGTTGAATAATATAAGGCAGAGATATATTGATAATGAGATAAGATATCACTAACTATTACATGATTACCCATAAATTAATGTCTCTGAATGTGTCAAATACAGACAGCACTGCCAATAAAAACCTCCCGTCGCTCTCAATAGCAATAATAATGCTGTCATTTATGATGAAAAACTTATTTTCATCTCTTGCTTTTAATCTCTCTTTTTCTCTCAAATTAACTCATTCACACACACACACACACACACACACACACACACACACACACACACACACACAATTGAATATATGTAATCATAATTTTTACAATAAATTTTATTAAATATAATATTCACAATCATTAACTAAATCATTAATAAAGTTTGAGTCCATTATATAATATATATACTGTATATATACAAAGTATTTACTTCATGAATGTTATAAACAGTTAATCGATGTTTTAATAATGAGCTACTATTAGAACATAGGTTCATGTATTCAACGCAATGTCTCATTTAATGACAATCATTGCAATAGTTATACTAACGTTAGTCGAGTTAAACAAATAATAATAATAATATAAATATAATTACAATAAAGTACTTCATCTCTATCACTGTGAGAGATCACATATCGGGATAATTAAATTTCTCATTAAACTACATATAAATATAATAAAAGTTAATTTTATGATTCATTTATTTTGTTATATCAGCTATAAAATTGTTTTCAAATTTGTATGATTTATGAATTTGTTTAATAAAAATTTAATTATGACACATTTATTTATGTATAAAATCTAATATGTATAATCTGATAATATAGTGTATGATAAATCTATTTTTTATTTAATAGTATTTATTTATTTTCATTCAAATCAGTTTAAATATAGTTAGAAAATTATTAATAAATTACAATTTTTTATTATTAAAATGCTTATAAGTTATAAGTTATCACCTAAAGTAAAGTTTTAGTCATATTATTTAGTATACATGTATAGTGTCATTTTAATATATTAATATTATATATTAAATAATTATATCATATTATTTTTTCAATGTTTAAAGGAAATTATTTGTGATCTTATTATAATATTTAACTTTTAAGATTTATTGGCAAAATATATGATAATTTAAACAAATAGCATATTTATATCACTGATAGGCGTTTTATATTTTTGAGTATAGTGTTACCACAAAAAATAATGGTCTGTATATAAATCGTATTATAATGTGATGGATAATAAAAATATAAGAGATTCTCTAAAATTTTATAATAAAATTAAGTACTGGTATATGTTTTATTTCTAATTTTTCTATCAATGTGTAGCAATTTTTATTTATTAATTATATTTTGAATAATATGTAGTTTTAAATGAATAAATAAAACCCAGACTAATCTATCGAATTTAATTTTTTATACTTATTTGTAATATTTTAAATATTTTTTATTACATAATTAATATTATTGTATTTATAAAAAAGTTATGTTAAAAATATTAGAATTTGTAATTAAGATATATAAAAAAATAAATATTTTTAATAAAATCATTTTTGATGATTCGTTACAATATAATAATAATAAGTTTCATATCAATCTTATATTTTTTATTTAGTAAAATCAATAATAATAATAAAATCTTAAATATAAAACCTCCTAAAAGAGGGCTTAGAATATTTGGATTTGAATTCTAACTTTTGTATTATATATTCATATTAGAGTTGTTCACATATTCTATACAATTCACAGAATTTATAGAATAATTATCAAATAAATGTAAAATAATTTAAATTTTACTAAATTATTTGACACTAAAATTTTATAGTGTTTAATTATTGACAATTTAATTAAATTACTATAAAATTAAAATGCTCATTATATATACCTTTTATATTAAAAATATATATATATTATTAATTGCAGTCAAATAAATAAATTTCTAAATTCAATAATTAACTTTATTCAATGTAAGAAATATTACAAAAAATAACAAAACAAAACAATTTTAACAATTTCTAAATAATAAGATCTAGGGTAAATATACAATATTAAAGTTACCTAATTTTCAATTTACATAACAATTGTTGATAAATATTTCTTATATAGGATTTCAAAAGTAAACAAATTGCACACAATTTAGTAGTACATGCATTTGATTTGTACGTCAATAATAATAATTATTGATACAAATTTATCAATTGTTTTTGTAAATATACAGACAAAAATTGTAGGGAATAAACATCACAACAATAACAATATTAGATTTGATAGAAAGTGATGTATAGCCCATACAGTATGGGTATGAAAAACGGTTCACTTTATTTAATTAAATTAAAACTAAATTTGCTATTAATTCACTGTTAAACGTCTTTTATTTTTTGTTGCAATGTATTCTTCAAAAAGACTGGGATCAATGAGAAGGCGGCCATTGCGAAGATGGCCACAACTGAGTGCATTGATAATATGCCAGAGTTGGACGTCAATGTATTTAGTGTAGTACCCGCTTGTATTGCTATGAATGAGGGCGGCGCCACACCTATACATTCATTAATACATTAAAACAATTATTAATTATTCATATAATTAGTCCTATGATTGTCACTATCGAAACAATATATTGATTATTAACTTTATACAGTAATAACACAGTTGTTCACTAAATGTTAAACAAAATAAATTTAAATAATTTATTTCTACCTAAAAAGGTTCCGATGAAAAATGTCTTGAGGGGCACATCTATGACGGGTGACGTTATGTTAATAAACCAATTGGGAAGAAATGGTGTGATCCTCAAGAATATTATATAATTGAGTAAATTATTTCTATGACTATCAACCTATTAAATAATAACAACAAATCAATTAAAACAATTCAATCATAATTAAGACCAACCGTTTGCGCCCATTCTTTGACTTTGTTTGGCCAAAATTTTAGTACAACACGTCTGCCCACTAAATATGACAACAAATAGCATAGGGAGGCGCCCACCGCTGAACTCTGTATTCAAATTACAATTAAAACTTGCGTTAATAAGAAAGGACTTCCAGACTTACCAAACAAACGCAGAAGAGAGCCAATGGAAAGGAAAAGAGAAAACCCGAGAGAATACTGAGGAATATTGAACCGGGAATTGCAAACGATTGAAGACTATCACCATAATTGGGTCAGAGATATAATTCACGTTAGTTTACATTAATTATCATAATTATTGATATATTAAAATACACTCACAAGACGTAAGTAATGAGAAAACCGCTTAAGACGACCAAAAAATACTTGTCTTTATAATGAGATAATACTGTTCCCAATCTTTTGGCGTCTTCTATATTCTTCGGTAGTTTTAGATGTGTTCGTTCGGCACTAAAATAGACAACAATTGGTCACTAAATATATATATATCATTCAATTGAATCCAATTTGTCTTACGGTTCAAGATTAGGGAAATTGTAGTAAACAAGTGAAAGACAAAGAAGTGACGACAAAAAGATGGCCAACAGTATGACGACAGCCGTTCGGGTCGATCGCCAATTCAATGACTCAACCGTTGTATCCATTTGTATGTATGTATTGCCACCGATTACTACACAGATTATCACTAAATATGACTAAATTATTATTAACTAAATCAGTGATCAATACATGAAATGTTTTTATTATTTAGTCGTCAATAGTCTCGCCATTAATAATGCAATCATTAGTTGACTCACAAAGTGTTGGCTCTATTATTGAGTACAACATGTGATGAGGCGGTCCTCACAATACAACACAACACAACACACGTCACATATAATACATTCAAATCAATCAAACTATTCACTCAAATATACGGTATATTAATATAAGTTTGGCGTCTCTTTCAAAGTATTTTTTTAATAATATATTTAAAAATATAATTTATATATAACTTTATAATGTATAACATTTTCAATGCTAACATTTACTATGGATATATTTTTTATTTTATTTATAAATAGTTAATGATTTTATAATATATGTATTGTATTTATAACTTTTTATTTTAAAACTCAATCATTACATAAATTTAATAATAATAGTAATGATTATAATTATATTATTGATTGTAATAATACTGTAGTAATAATAGTATTGATGTTAATGTAAGTATGGATTGATTGAATTTGTGATAATTTTTCAAAATCTTATTTTGAGTCGACTCTAGTTTTGCGAACTTTATTAACAATAGATAATTCATTGATAAGTTTGAAGTCATGTCTATTATTAAGCTCTAAACTGATAAATCTTTTAGAATCCGATGTCTTATTCTTGAGCTGTTCCTCTACTTTCTGAAGAATACTCTTATGTTTTTTGGCCTCTTCTTCATTACCACTCTTTTCCGATTCGTATATCATTTTGCATAAGTTTTCCGATACATGTCTTAACATATCAACCGATGCTTTGATATTATTTTCCTAATAAAATAATCAATAATATAGAATATTCTGTGATTAATATTATTTTTTCTAATGTTTAATAATTTGTAAAAAATTATGACAAACATTGGCTTTTCTGATATCTATATGAATAAGAAGTGTCGATAATTCCAATTCTTCGCTGTACTCATTCTTCAGTTGAATACTTCGGTAACCTATTAATCAAATGAACAAACTTTAGACAAACATAATATAAATTGTGATTTTAATCAGTGATCAGTGAATACCTGTTCTCAAACAAGTGATCGGTAATGTTGAGTGACCGACAAAACTCGAGTCATCGAAAGTGTCCAAATGACAGACTAGAAAGCGAATGAATGCCAATTGAGGACACGTTATGTTGAATACAAATGTTTCACTCGACCAGATCGGGTTGAGTCCATTGTCTTCTATTATTTGGATCAAATGTAAAATTCAATTTTATAATAAATTTGTTATTATATGTCACAGACTTACGGACGACACGAGTCATGCATTTTCTGCAGTCATAGTCGACTCCAATGATTTCAATTTCAATCGATGGACTCACGATTCCCTTTAAGGCTTTCCGTAGATTACGAGCACTAATCACCTAAAAAACAATCTTATAATAAATTTTCCATTAATTAGATCTTTATATTATGTTTACTCTGACGGTTAGTACGATTGGATTGAAATTATGAAAATCCGTTGGCTTTTCATAAGGATTGAAGTTATCTTCAAACATATATTGAGGTTTAAGGACATAACCGCACCGACCATTTTGCATAAACATTGCTTCATTCAATTGCATGGCCTTATCTGGAGTTTGATAGTTAAGTGCAACCAATTGTAAGCCACAGTTCCACATACGGGTCGGATCGTAGTTGGATGAGTCCAGACGTGACCCTTTCGGGTAGACCCGACTCAATTGCTTCTCATTATATTTCAATATATTTCGGAAGTTATTATGATTTATAAGTTTTTCAATCTTTATTTCATGAAATGATGACATCTCTGTAAAATGTGTTGAGCCTAATTGAATCCATATATTAATTGTTAATACAATGGTTAGTAAATTATTTTTACAAAGAGAGAGAGAGAGAGAGTTTTAAAAATATATAATTTAGTTAATTATACAATTTTGTGATTACAATATAATTGAAATGTTGCCAATTTTATATCATCTAATGAGATAATAGTGTAAAATAATAAATCATAACAAAAAAGTCATGTGTTTTATAACAGATAAATTCCTTAAACATATTTGTCTCAAATCCAACTTATCTTAATTACTATTAATCTAATAATATTATTATAAAACATGTGAAAAATCTGATAAAATGTTACAAAACTTACATCCATTGAAGGGAACGGCACTACAATAGACTATAAGAGTATTCAATTCCGGCGCTATTTTTAGGTTTTGCTTCAATTCTTTGCTATTTCTTAACTGAAATTATAAAATAATTTTTAATATTTAAAATAATGCAAAAATTAATAATTTATTTCATATAAATAATTACATATTACTAATCACTCAAAACACATACTTTGACTTTATTTAATTGAATGGTTTCTTGTATTTTATTGATCCAATCTTTTAATTCGTCCTCATTTTGTGCTGATATATCAAGAGATCCTAATCTGAAAACCCATTCACGGCTTTTATTTTGTATATTTGATATAAGAGTAGTTGAGTCGAGTTCAATGAATCCATGCTTAAGATCTAATGACAATTTATTCTGAAAATAAATATAAAAAAAGATATAAATTATAGAAAATGTTATGAATGACTAATAAATACCGAATCAAATGTTTTGACTTCTAAGTCGTCTTCAATTTCTTCTACAAAATTTGATGGAAAATAGCAGCCAATTCTAGTAATGCCATCAACTTTGAGGTCACCCCTCCACCAGCCGTGATCTTGTTTGACAACATTTGTAATGATATCTCCGGTACTGAAAGACAACTCTTCATCATTTTTTGCCTGATAATCATAACAAGCCATCACTTTAATTGTAGATCCCTTTGGATTCGTATAATTGGACTGAGATTCGAGATCCGGTTCCTTAAAAAAATCATTTATTAATAAATTTTTCATAAAATATTTAGATAACAAACCCCTCCGAGAATTCTTATATTTTCTTCAGTGACCGGAAATTTTAGTTTAACTTTTCTATTAAAAATAAATTAAATAAGTATTAAATATATTTAAAAATTTAAAAGTAAATAGTATTAGTCACCTGTAAAGTGGATTTTTTTCGTAATATTCAATGAGTTCAGTGAGACTCCCAAACTCAGCGCTTCCGATCACATATAGTCTTCCCTCACGTCTTATACGACAGTGTTTTATCTTATTTTCGGCTCTAAATTATGTTAAAATAATATATAAATGTTATATCAACTTAAAGTCAATCAAATATTGATAACAAACCGGAAAGATATGGCAAATAAGTTATCTTCTTCTGAGTGCGACTTTTCACTCGGACGGACCAAATATGCGCCGTCGTTACGCAATCGTCTCAACATGTCTTCAGCATAAGAACGGGTCATATTCTTGTAAAACCATTCTTTATCTTCATGTGAATTGGGTGGCGGAACAGGTGTTGTCAAAAATAATTGATTAAACTTTTGACTTCTCAAAGGGTGTGTTTGATAATGAGTTATCAATTCGTAAAGACTGGTAAATGGGACCCATTTGTTAAGTTTATATATTTTCTGATTATTTTCAATGTTATGAAATATACGGCTGTGATGTATATTATTCTGATAAATGAATGACAGAGAATAGTCACTCGGATTTGATTCACAATCTCTGACCAAAAACGTGCCGTCATTGTTGTCGACATCCAAATACTTCTGAAGTAGACTTTTAGCCTCTCCTCGACCGCCCTTTTGATTGTAATTTATTTATAAATAACCGGAAAATAATAAATAAATTATAATATTTTAGACAAAATCCAATTACTTTAAGTTTTCCGTGAAACCAAGTTTCGCCAAAATGTAATTCATAAGCGCTGTCTTCATAAAATTGAACCGAATCTCTGGTACCATAAATAGTGTCCTCTTCTTCCTCTAAGTCTTCTCTTTCGTCTTCAGCTTTGGGCTCAACGTAATAGAGTTTATCGCGAGTTAACACAAAATATTGTAATTTCCATTTCTAGTAAAATATATTAGATTTTCAAAAATTAATAAATATTTTTTATAATATAATATAACTCATTGTTATTATACAAATTCATTACTTTTTCATTTGGATCTTCTATATAAAGAATTCCGTTTTTAATTGAATTACTTATATCTAAATCAATATCACTATTTGATTCTTCTTTTGGAGAATTTAAAGGTTTGTCATCTATTGATTTCGTCAGCTTTTTGTGCTATTTTTTAATTAATAGTTTAATATTTATTTTGTATAAATATTTGTTTAAATTACTCTATAAATAATTAAATATAAACTTACTTTAAGTATAATTTTACATTTAAGTTGATTAGGAGACGGCATTATCTCTTCATTTGCATCGACTTGTTGTGTAAGCAATAAATCTTTAAAAAAGTATTTATATTTAATTTTAGAGTAATTTTTACAAAATTATAATCTGAAATAAATACCACCGAAAACCTCCCGAAAAGCACTGGCCATATATTGCTGTTGTTTAAGACTGCAATGGTTTTCAATCGACAAAATTAATGGATATTGAGATGATGTGAAAGCATGTCTTTTAATGGTTGTGATGACATCAATGAAACGTATACGAGATGTTAATGTCATTCCGTGATATATCAATGGTTTGCCGTCGGGTCCATCCCAACAGTCCACTTAACACATTTTAATACAATATGTTTTATATTAATTATGTTATTTTGATAAATAAATTCAAACTTACATTCAATACATCTGCATCCCATCTGAAGACTTCTAGCGTAACACTCAACTGACGACTCACTCTTGAATTGATCACCACTTAGGTATGTGTTATGAGAAGTGGCAATAAAATAATAACTTAACGGATGAGACATATCTTGATAGACGGTCTCATACTTTGGATCGAAAATACTATTTTGTTTTGAAAATAAATAATCGATGAACTCATTGATTGCAAAATAGGGATCAATCTCGTAGTGACGCAACGGATCCAATAAATATTCTTTAATGATATCAGAAGCAACAGATTCGCTCATATCTTGAATATTTTGCTCTTTTCTTAAAAAGTTAACAAATTCTTGAAGTGTTACCCGTTTGCCATCACAACAGTATTGTCCGATGTGTTCACTTAAAAACTTATTTGAATCGGTATTCATTAGGTTCAAGAAAAATGTGGAAAAGCCTTCAAAATCTAATTGATTGACAAACGCTTTGTCCACTTCATGAAAACGTTTTTTTAATTCTTCATTATTTAATTTGAAATGAATTTTAGCCAAAAATGCTTTCATGTCTTTAAGATAAACTCTATTTATATTTAAATTTAATATAAATTAATAAATTGTTTGTAAAAATACTTGATTTTTTTAATTACATATTATTATTGCATTGATTTCTACTAAATTCCGTGAATTCTCTCCGAAGCATAACATCAATACGCGAATGATAGGGTGCTCTCAATTGGGTTTGCCTTAAAAACTTGATTCCTTGAAACCACAACTCAATATCATTTAATGTATTGGCTATCAAAGGGATAAACAAAAAAAATAGTCTAAAATAAATTATTTAGTCAATTGTTAGGACTCACCAAAACATATCATTTCTTTGAGTCTAAATTTCTTTCCGTAATAAATAGCAAAAAAGTGATTCTTTGATTCATCCGATTTGTTATCAGATTTTAGATTAGTTCCGATTCTTACTTCTTGAATATCTTTCATATTTATGACTCCTTCGATATTATTGCTTCCGGATATCCAAATGACTCGAAATAGATCTAATTGAACACAAAATAGTCGTCTTTCGCACCGAGATTTAGGTTCCAGTCTATTGAATACAAATCCATACTCCAGTTTTTTAAGCAAATCATTGGGAATACCATTTTCACTTAATTTCTTATATAATAAATTGTTAATTAAAATTGAACGGGGCATATTTGTTGTCATATTTAAATTGATATATACACTACACTATTATATTTATTAAACCAATTTTTTAATTAATATTTATAATCACACAACTCATTAATACTAATCCAATGAATCAATGAATGAATAACATATTAACATCCGTTACAAATCCCAGTTTCCAATCATTCACATCCTGTCTGTTATATCATAACATTTAATAACGTTTTAATATTTAATTTATTATTAATGTTTTATTGTATTAAAGACATATCATTTATTATATATCATTTTATTAATAATTTTATGAGTATTGAATTTTTTAATAATATTTTTATAAAATAACTAAAAGTTGACTTAAATTTAAAAATATAACGTTAAAGTAGCATAAATTTATTTTAACACTAAATTAATAATACAGTTTATACTTAAATACAAATAATATCAATCGCTAATCGATTCGTGAAAGGAGTGACACAATATTTGGTAATAACGAAGATAATGATTCCCAAAGTAATTGAAATGGGAAGCGCTGGTAGAGGTATCTTCAATATCGTTAAACAAATCAATGTTAAGCCCAAACCTACAATTATTGCCAAATAACAAGCAATCAACAAATTGAAGTCACTATAAGTTGATGCCATTCCCATTAAGACACTATAAAAAACAAAGTCTCCTAAACCCAGTTTTGGTCTGTTCTTGGTTTTGGTCTCATTATTTGATTTGTTTCCCTCTTTAATAGATGTGTCCATCGGCTTAATCTCCGTTTCTTTATTACCAACACTTTGAATGTTGTTGTCTTTAAATTAAATGTTAATAATTTTTTAATTAAAAAATAATAATATCCTACTAATAATATACATACCTTTATCAGCAACTGCTAAGATATAGACACTGTTGAAGACACTTGTTATGACAGTCGAGTAAAGCAAACCGGGAGGAAATGTCATGGGTTTGCCGTCTTTTTTCTTCTGTGTTTCCAATGTTTTGATTAGCAATCTTAAGGGACCAAATGGACACAAGACAGCAACGATATCCCAAATAACTAATACTCCGAGTAATATCCAAACGGGCCAACCATACAATATAAACAAAATGACTACCGAAGTCATACATGAGTTCATTATTAGAAAAAATTTCTGAAGAATTTCTGGACCCATCCAAAAGATACAGATCACACCTTTAGTTAATTTAATTGAAATTATTTTTTTTAAATTTAAGTTTTCAATTGATTTTACCGATTATAACATAATTCCATAAAAACAGATACGAAGTGATCAAATCAAATGGTATATTCATTGCGTAGACTATTTCACCAAAGATTTTAGAGCTAAGAATCGTTAGGATAAGTGATATACTAATAAAAAGCCAGCAAAAGATCACTTTATAACATCGGAGCCAAACAAATAATACCAACAAAAAGGTGGTTATAATCAATATAATTATAATCATTGTCATCAAATAGTATGAATCAATTGGTGGTCTGTTTTTACTCGATTCTATTGATTTTCCCGTTGAATCTTTGTGGACCAATTTGATGTACACTATCACCAAAATCATTGATAAAGTTATTGGCACAAGAAGTGGTTTAATTGATCCAAATATATCATAATTAGCCCGTTTGTCCTCTTCAGACAACTTCACATCAGTTTCAACGTTTGTTTCTCTTTTCTCTTCATTTTGATTGTTACTAACCATTTGATCGTTTGAATTATTGGTTTCATTTGTCTCCGATATTTTGGATCTCATATCTCAATGATATTACAACAAAACTTTTAAATTAATTAATATATTTATTATAAAATATTTATTAAGAAATCTTTATAACAAATAATTACAAATAACTTGTTATTCTAATTATAATAATTTGTTTATATGTTTCATACAATTTGACAGTTTTGGTCATTCATTAAATTTTATTGTATCCAAACTACTGTATAAGCTGTTTATAATTAATGTTATTTTTTATAATTATTATTTTATAGTTTTTTTTATCGTTGACTACAGTTTATTGATTTTATATATATATATTTTTATAATCTGAAGTTAATTAACTAAAATATTTTATTTATTCATTATCTTCACTTGACATGACATGACTGGTCACTCGTAACACACGACTTAAGCTAACAGTTATTTGTTTCCACATTTCACGAGTGTCTTCATTGAACGCATTATAAAATTAATTGTTATAAATATAAACTTTTTGTCAACTATTTTATGTATAAAAAGTTTTGTGAGAGACATATAATTAAAACACTTAGTTATTCTGTAATTAATAATTATCCTATACGAGTTAAATATTTAATATAATATTGATATTTAATTAAAAATAATAAAATAATTTTTTAAAAATTTATTTAAACTAATTATTTATTTATAATTATTATATTTTAAAGATTTTTATTGACATTTTATAATTATTACACAAATCAATTGTTTGCATTACTTAACAAAAATTGTTTTATTCACATTAATAAACAAAATCAAAGTTTTCACAAAATTCTGATATTAATACCTATTAATTGCCTGTTTTTTATTATAATTTGATAGCTATATCAGTCAATTATAATATTATTTTTATTTTAAGTAAACTATTTTAATAATATATTTTATCATAAATTATATATTAAATAGTTCAAATATTGAAATAAAAAAAAAGTTTATTGCATAAATTGTTTACATTTTAGTTTTATAAATTATTAATAGTATATTTTTATTAATTCTAATTATATTTAAACCATTTTTTAAATTGCAATATTATTGTAATAATAATAATAAGATTCAATGTACTGTAAATTTATTATATGTATCTCTAAAAAAACTAAATAATAAGGAATTTCATCAATGAGTGATTAAATATAATAAATAAATACTTTAATACATGTATTTGACAAGTGATTTGACATTAAATAATCTGTTTTTGTTATTAATAAGTTGATAATAACCTGGAAATCATTTATTTTATATGAAAATATTTTTAGTATTGTTACTTTAATATTGTTGCTAATAATAAATATACATATTATACAGGTTTCATATTTCAAATTTCGTATATAAATATTATAAAACACGCTATTATTATATAATATTTCTGTTCTATATATTTCAATAAATATATTAATATAACTTATTAATTATATAAATTTTAAAAATTAATGTAAAACAATATTATGGATAGCGATTCAATTATATTATCGTTAATATTTGTGAGCCATTTATTCTTGAATGTCTGGTTTGTTATGAAATTATTATACATTTTATGATTACAAAAAAATCATATTAAAAAGTGTATTATATTTAAATGATAGGTCAATACTGGGATTCATGTATTTGCAGTTCATATTTTACAACACTTTCTATTTGTTGTGTATCTTGTGGTGCGTTCACGAAACTAAATCTTCTTCACCACCATTTGTGGCCCTATCTGTCAATATCATGGCTTTCATATGCGATGTCATATTGATTGGTATCCTATGGGATGACCATTATTACGGTTACAGAACTAGATTTGTAATAAGTTTAATGTAAGTAAACCATATAAGTTAGTGTCGGTAGGTTTTTTTTTATTTACCACTGATTATCAATTACCAGTAAACATAAAAATTATTATTTTATACTAATACTATTGTTATTGTATTATTAAAAAATAATTATTATTGTTATTAAGTGCTACTTTGGTTAATCTATTTTTACGAATCCTAACATCAATTATAATATATCGCATATTATTAAAGCGCAAACAATTGGAAAATAGTGTCTATGATATGACAAGTGTTACCAGAGATTTAACTAATTATCTCAACATTTCACCGAAAACTACAACTACTACTACATCAGTAACACAAATACAACAAATGTCATCCAATAACACTCAAAGAACTATTGAAATATCAGGCGATTAATACTTGTATCAGTAAATGAAAAAAGTTATCAAAATAAAAATCACTTTATTATTCATATTTTCGGGTGTTATTTGTTATTCAAAATATTAATAATATATGATTAACATATCAAATATAATATTACGGTATATTAAAAATAATTTACTTATTATAAAAATGTTATCTTTTATCAAAACCAATTGACCCAACAATCATAATATCTTCTTCTTCAGAGTTATCACCAGTTTTTGTTTCTTTTTGTTTTTTGATATCTTCTTCAGTAAATATTTCATCATTAGATTCATCCGAATCACCCATTGGTGTACTGAACTGCCACTGAGTTTTGCCTCCTTCTCCAACTCCAGCAATACCTCTACCGTAAAGATAGACATTCTGAGTGACCTCTTTTTCCACTTTCTCCTCCATGGGCTCATCCTCTTCAATTGGATTCAATTTAATTACATCCAATAAATTCAATAATGGCATCTCTATAGATGACATAATACCAGTGCAAATAGCATTTGTAAAACCAATTGTCTCTTCAGATTTAATTCTGTTTTCACAATCATTTGAAAGCATTTCCTTTACAACTTCTGTCAAATGTTTAGACCTTTCAATTGCCATTCGCGAGCAATTAACCACTTTATCTGAATCAATAACTGGTTGACCCCAACAATGAAGACCAACAATTTCATGGTAAGTATTAGCGGCAATAATCAACAAAGAGTCAGCCGATTCTTCTTCATTTTGATTTGGATCACATATTGTAACAAATTTATCGTTTGTTTCGTCAACAAAAAAAGCAAATGAAATACAAAACGGAAAGTGAAGTAATGTTAGGTTTAATGGATTTTTTTCATCGAAGTCATGCACTTTCAGTAACTTTTCATCGGTTACTGTCACGTCTGGTCGTCTAAAATGATAATTATGAAGATATTAATTAAATAAATATTTAAATCATTTATTAAATCATTACTTGAAATGAGATAACGCAGCGATGGTCGCAATACTTGTCGCTTCTAATAGGTTTCCATCAAAATTAAGACATGAGTTATGACACTTCACTTTCCAGACCTTCTCTCCGGGAATCAAACAAAGAGATTCGGTGTCCAAACAACGCGAGTCTTTGATGGTTCGCTCCAGAAATCTAAAGACACGAATGCCTTCCGGCGGTAAACTCCTCTGATATGTGTCTAACCATTTCTCAGACGCCGAACTCAAGTCTAGACTGAGATCTAGTATGCCTTCATGTGGTCGCGTGATCTTCGGCTCAACAATTTCGGCGGTGACGGTCGTGAAGACACTTTTAACAGATATTCAATAATTTATTAAACAAATGGTACATCACTTTTAACAGATCCATACATTGTATGTCCCAATCGTACAAAACAAGTACCAAATTGTTTGCCAAACACAAGCCTCAACTCCCGGTGCTGTCGGTCCGACCGCAAGTCAATGCGCTATCAATTGTAATCAAGACATAAATCAGTGATCAATCAATCAATCAATCAATTAGTTTATTAAGTGATAAAATACTTTGTTTTTATTGATTATTGCATTTCTTAAAAACGTTTTGTTTGACTCCGATATCACTTTCATTATTAAATCAATTGATTTATTTAATAATTAATATAAAAAGTGATTCAGTTTTGAATTTTTGTTAAATAATTTCAATACAAAAACAAAAACACAATAATAAACAAAACGTGTTTTCATGTCATTTGAACACAAAATACGTATAAATATATGAAAATAAAACTTTTAAAAATTAATCAAAATTTAATATAATTAAGACATAAATTTATATAAACAGTATATCTATGTATATTTGACATAAATTAAACAATTAATTAAAATACACTGCAGTTATATAGATTGGATTTATTGGAAAATTAGACAACAATTCAATTGTCTTATTTGCGGTTAAATGACAACAATTTTTATAAAACCAAAATTATTAACAAAACTTTGATAAAATTTAACAAATCTATTAATATATTACAACTATATATATATATATATATATATATATTAATATATATCAATAATTTGGAAATACTGTTCATATATTATACTTATTTATATATAGATATGTATTACGCAATCAATTACTTTTCACTCAATTATAAAAATTATAAAAATATTCAAATAATTCAAACTTGATTTCAAACTTATAACGATTTTAATAAAATCAATATAATTAACGATATTTTTATAAGAAATTAATGGTAAAACCTCTTGAGTTATCATTTTAAAGATAATTTAAGACAAATATTAGGCAAAATATTTTGAGTTATCATTTAGTTATGAATTTAGAATTAATCATTAGTTTTGTATTTAATATAGAAATATAATTCAATTTTAAATTGTATTTGAAATATAAATAATGGGGAAAAAAGATAATTTTGACAAAAATTTAATTTATTTACTCTTCAGTTAATATCTGAGACACACTTTCCCTTCATTTTCTTTCTTTTCTCTTCACTAATCGTCACAACTCTTTCGGTTTCTTCTCCGTCTTCGACGGTGACCACCCTTTCGTCGACCACATCGTGATCTGCCTCTTCTGGATCGACAACTCTTTCTTCTTTCTCCTCCCAAATGCTTTCTGTGACGTCTGGTCTCAACTTCCTCTCAATTTTGTTGTAATAAATTTTGAAAAAAATAAATATAGTATACAATTGAATATTATGTATATTTTTGTAACAACAGTAATAAAACTGATTTTTTAAAATCTCGTGATTGTCTTTGAAATTTCTTATAAGATTTGCGTTGATTTTAATAAAAACGATTTTAGAGTTTTTGTCGATAAAGTTAAGCCAAAACCATCAGAAATGCCTAAAACTAAGCACACAATCAATGATATGTCGAAAGAATTTTTATTACATTTGTTCTCAAATTACTTGAATTTCAACACCAAATTAGAGGTCCAATTGGTCTGTAAATTATGGAAAGAGTTGATTGATCTCTCATTTGATTCTCTTCGATGTCTTATTATATGTGACTATGAAATGAACAAAAGTCGCATTCATTCGTTAAATATGAGTGACAACAAAGTGTCAGTCATTCCGATGACAGCATTTCATCTGACAGAAAGAACCGAATCTAAAGACCGACAATTCATTGGATCAATTCTGAAGAAATACCAAAATTTGAATACACTTTGTATAAGTCTTAAGTACACGAAATGTAATAATGGTTTGTTTGCATTGATCGCAAAATTTTGTGGCAAAACCATAAATAATTTGAGACTTGAATTAAGTGAGTGTTCAGTGAGTAATAGGACTTTGAAGATCGACAACGAAGAAATCAATCAATTAGGCGACAGTTTGCCAAATCTCAAGAACTTATATATTGATTTTGTCTTATTATTTATTGGAGAACAGACTTTGCAAACATTGTTCACCAACTGGTCCTCAATTGAAACAATTATCTTTCATATGCCATGTTTTCGTGGCTTTACTTATAACGCCGATATTGTCGACGCATTGAGTGTTGAATTTAGTGGTCAACCGTTTGAATCAATTGCTAAAACTGTGACCAAACTTGAAGTTCCCGGAAACTTAATGACAGTCAATGCCATCGATCGATTTCCCGACGATTCACAATTGAAACGTTTATTTTTGATGAAATTAAATCTCAATACAATAGAAACAATTTGTTCAAAGTTTACATCTCTTTGTTATTTTGGATTCTCAATTGAGAACAACTTAAATGAAGACGATTTGTATCTCTTGATGTCAAACATTGGTCGACTTCATGAGTTACAAGATCTATATATGGCTATCGTATCAATTATACCTATTAATCATAATTGTATTAAATATCTGAGAGGATGTCAACAAATCAAGTGCTTACACATAGACCAGACATTGATGAATAGGGAAGCCATCGATGCTTTGGTTAAATATTTCCCGAAACTGGAAGTATTGGAACTGTGGACGAGTGGATTCAATCAAAACTTTCATAACTGTCTTCGAGACGATAGTATTGAGAACATACAGCACTTGAGATGTTTGAAAAAATTGAATTTTCGCGGACAACGAATGCTTTCGGACACATCTATTGCTAAAATTATTGCCAAATGTCTTAAGTTGAAGACAGTGGACATCCGCACCACAAATGCTGCCATAATTACGTTCAGATCACTCATTGATAAGAGTAAACAATCAGTAGATATGGTTAATGTCTATATTAATGAAACACCAATTTCTCGATTGTTGGGCTCAGCCATCAAGTCGTTTAAAATGTGTACTAATTTGTTGCTTATTAATGAAGAATTTGATTATAAAATACATTTTTAAAAAAGTTTTATTTCTTTAAAATAATTTAGTTGTTATTTCAAATTACAATAGTTTTGAATAAATTAAATATATTTTAAATATGATTTAAATATTCATTTAAACTTTATTATGTATATTATCAATTGGTAGACAATTGTGATCATTATCATTGATTTTGTCCTTATCTGTCAAACAACAGGTCAGACGACAAGTGAGTGAAGAAAGTGAGGTAATATTGAGTTCATTGAGTTCATGAAATTCTGGCTGAACTGTCACCAAACGGATGCCCTGTTTCTTGAAAAACTTGTCCATCAATTGGGAAAATTGTTTGAATTCTTTGGATGACTGCTTTGGTAGTATTATATGACACGACCCTATTATTTGAGATGAGGTCAGTCCCCATATATGTAAGTCATGAACATTAACAATGTTGGGAAACTGTGTTAAATAATTTTGAATTAAATTAGGTTTTTATAATCTAAATAAAATGATAAATACCTCTTTGAGTATATCATTTTTTAATTGTTCCACATCAATATTTTCAGGAACTGTTTCTAGCAATATGTACATGGTGTTTTTAACTATAAATTAATTTTATATTTTATTATCAAAATGATTTAAATAATATAATAAAATTTTCATATATTGAAATTTTAAAAATGTCTATAAGTTATATTAAAATATGTATATTTAAGTAGATTGTGTTAATTATGAATAAAATTTTATTTTACACATTATATAATACTCAGTGATGCACAACATTACTGTGAACTCACATCTATCTTTCAGTCTACAATATATATATATATATATATATTGTATAATATTAGTATATAAACGATTTAAACAAGTTTATAAAAATTTTTGGCAACTTTTGGCAAAAAACTAATTTAAATGTAAATTTAGTTCTAATTATATTTTTACTTAATATATTAAAATTAATTATTAAATTTATGAACTGATAATTTGTGTACATTTACTCATACTGTATATAATTATAAAAATAAAGGAAATTTCACAAAAATAATATATTTTATACAAAAAAAATATAGAAATATTACTTTTGAAATCATTATTCAAAATGATATATCATTTGAATTAGAGAATTATTAATTAAATGAAAGTTTTTATAGAAATATATTTAAGCGTTAAAAGTATTAATATATCAAACATTTTAATAATTATGTAAATAACTTACTTTCCGGATATAATGACAAACAGAAGACAAGAGCAGCTATTATACCAAAGATCGGATCCCAAAGATAAGCCATCCATCCATCGGTGTGTAAGACAAATACAGCGCACAGAATGACGAGCACTGAACCCATCAGATCTCTGAACATCAGATAAAATACATTTTGTTCACTATTTTCATGTTTTGTTGTTATAGATTGTAATGTTTCTGAATATTGATAAACTTTATATAAATTAGTAATCATTAAAAAATATATTTATTTATAAATAAAACCTTTTTCTGGTTGTTGTGCTAACAATGTATCGGAAACATCGTTTGAATGACTTTGTGTGTTATTAACTGCTGGACTATCGATGTTAAGACTCAATATATTGTTAAATACAATATTTTCTTGTGGTTTTAGACTCAAACTTATAGCTCTTTGTTTGTTTTTAGATGAAATAGTGTCTAAATTTTAAATAATATATATATATATAAGTTATATATTAAAATATAAAATATTTTAAAACAATGTATTAATCGACTACCGCTAACTATATTGAAATATAAAAGATTAGATATGAAACTAATGAATCCAAATGCAAATAATAAATAATAATTAGTGGGTCCACTGATTTCATGAGATGAATGAACCAACTGTTGGATACCCTCCACGACTAATGAGAAAGTGAGGGCCACGAGGAATGTCATATTAACTAACATTCCCAGTACTTCAATGCGTGCCCAACCAAATGTGTTTTTCACAGTTTTCTCGTTTGACATCTAGAAATGTTATATTATTATATCTTAATTAATATATTTTTGTTATTTTTAACACCATGATCATTTTTAAAATTATTAATTATTTATCTATCTATTTATTTATTTATTCAATATATATATATATATATATATATATATATATATTTAAATCCACAATCTATAATCATAGTTATTTGATATTTCATTTTAACTAACTAATTAAATGGGGATAAGATATACACCAGAGGATCTTAAACAATATGAAATAAAAAAAAATTAAAAATTACTTATTTTAAAATTTGAAATTTTTCTAAATTTATCGCATAAATCATCAAGTAATAAAATAATGATTAGTTATAAAACCTTGAAAAATAGACACATTTTATAAGGATTTTAAAAATGAGAAATTTATATTAGTTATAATACATATATTTTTAAATTAAAGCCATACACACATAATATATTTTAAAAATTTTGTATGATATGGTGTCACGTAACCATAAATTTCTTAAATTTTTGATTTTATTTTAAATTAATAAATTAAACTTACTTTATAACTAATTATTAACAAAACAATACTTAAAATATTGTAAAGTGTATGATAACCATCGGTGAGGATAATGAGTGAATGTGTCAGTTGACTGGCCACCAGTTCCCCGATCATAACCACCCCTTCCAATGCAATCAATGCATATAAATATCTCAGATTCATTGTTTTTATTTCAAAAAGTTTATTAATTTGCTATACATTTAAATTAAAACAAAATGAATTTTATTTATAGCAAATCATTAATATCACAACAACAGCACTGTATTATTATTTATCAATTAATATAAAATTTTGATAAACTTTTCACTCAACACAACACTCAAAATAAACACAAAATTTCTTTATCGCTTTTTATGGATCAAACAAAAATCATTTAAACATATTTATATATATAAAAAGTTTTTATATACATATTTTATAGTATAATTAATATTTAAAAATAGTAATTTATATATTTCAAATTTTAATATTTCTTTATCATTTATAAAATAATAATATTTATATTAAACAATTAAATAATTTTATATAAACTTATATTATAATACTTAAAATAAATTATTTATATAATATTTTAATGTGTTTAGGTTTTTATTATTTTTTAAATAGCAAACATTTTTATTAATTTTAATCCATAATTTCCTTATTTATATCCATTAAAGATATTACAATATTTACAATACTCTCCATAAAAAGTATCATTTATTATAAAAATTAGTTAACACACTAACAGTAAGTAAATCACATATATTTCTAAAAATTGACTAAAAATATTAGCAAAAGTTGTATGACAACAATCTTATTAAAGATAGGCATAATTATAATTTATAAATAGCATACAGTTTAATAATTATTAAGGAATAGATTAAAAGTTATTTATATTTTCAAAATAGTTACTAATAAAATTAAAATACATGAAAATCAATACATAGCTAATAATATGTAAATACTATAGTAAAAAATAAAAAAAAGTGCTAAAATTATTAACAATTATATATTAAGCAACAATGTAATAATTTAATGTTTTTACAATTTATTGTTTATAATATTTGATGTTTATAAATTAATAACACTTTAATACAAAACGTAATATAAAGTATTACATTTACATTTATTATAATTAAATTTAAAATTTATATAATTTTAACAATATAAATTAAATTTATTATACTAAGAATTAAAAAAATTATTTTAAGTTTAGTAATAGTTTTAAGTTAAATAACTGTTAATATATTATCTACTGATTATAAAAATATATTATAGTGAAGAAAATAGGGATGACCTCAATATAATTAAAAACTAATTGAATTATAGTATAAATAATTTTACTATATATTGAATAAAATTATCAAAAATACTATTAAAATTTTTTATAGGAATAACAAAATTGTATTTATTGTATAATTAACTAAAGTCAGTATATTTATATTAATTTTATTGATATCAATTAGTTTATGCATGTGAAAAAATAGTATTAGTTTGTTAACTCAATTGAAAACTATTTAGTTTAATGAGATTTAAAAATATTTATAAATTTTAAGATTAGATGGATTATTATAATTGCAATTTTTTATTACAAATGTTATAATATAGACATGTTTTGGTTAAATTAACTTTTAAATATATACTGATAAAAACATCCTAGGATATTTAATTCTAGTGTAATTTTAATTGTTATCAAATTATAATGTATTAAGTATTGGAAAATTTTAATATTGTTTACTAATATTGTTTGTATATCTGATATAAACTCACTGTAGATAACAGTAATACAGTAAATAAAAATAGTTTATATATTTGTTTGTATAATGATTTTAATAATAATTAATAATTTTCTGTAAATTTATTGTCAATTTATAGATTAATATTATGAAAATATTATAGAATATTCTGTGAGATATAACAATAGTATTCAATAGAGACTATTGAATAGATTGACACAAAATTTGCTAACAATTTCTTATAAGTTAAGTGTCGGCTCAAAACACCTCTACTCGAGTGTCGACACCTCTACTCTCATGTGTTTTAAACATTCAAACCATTTTGGAAAACAATTATATTATAAATAAAAGACAATATAATAGTTAGTATTGAATACAAATTGGGATCAATTGATTCATACCATTGATATATCATCACAAGTCATGGCTTCACAAGACTTTTATCTTCGCTATTATGTCGGACACAAAGGAAAGTTTGGACATGAATTTCTCGAGTTTGAGTTCAGACCCGACGGTAACTATTAACAGACAATTGCGGTCTTAAGCGGTGATTGCATGCGGTGTTGACGGTAATGACTAACCAATTGTTTGCGATTTGTCTTCAGGTAAGATGAGATACGCCAATAACTCCAACTACAAGAACGATACAATGATCAGGAAGGAGGCATTTGTCCACAAATGTGTGTTGGATGAGCTCAAGAGGATCATCGATGACTCGGAGATCATGCAAGAAGACGACGGCATTTGGCCACAACCCGATCGAATTGGTCGTCAAGAACTGGAGATTGTGATCGGCGACCAACACATTAGTTTCACGACCAGCAAAATCGGATCATTAGTCGATGTGAACCAAAGCAAAGATCCCGAAGGTCTTCGATGTTTCTATTATTTGGTTCAAGACTTGAAATGTTTGGTTTTCTCATTGATTGCTCTTCACTTTAAAATCAAACCGATTTAAGACATTATTTTTAAAGTCATTAATTATTTTGTGATTATTATTATATGATTTTTATATCAAAACATTTCATATATTTTACTTCAAACTAATTTAAAAATCATTTAACTTAACATTTGTAACAGTTTTTCAATCGATTATAATTCAAAATGACTTCGAAATTCAGATAATTATTCCTAAATTAGTTTAGTTTTAAAAAATTAAATAAGATTTTTGTCATTTAATTGCTTTTTAATTACAAACTTTAATAAAATTTGAAACAATAATAAAACTACAAAATATGAGATATCAGTGACCACTTGGCTGTCGTCAGTAGACGTGAACCATTCCGTAGAGAAATGTCCAGAAGAGGACATAAGTGGTTAGTCCACCAAACAATCCATTTGTCAGCAAATGACGTCTCGATGTAAAGTATTTGTTCCAATGGTTGCCAACATTCAAGATAATCATCAGCCATAAGGCAATGGCCATCAAGAAGTAGAAGGCAAAGCCATACAATGAGGTCAGACCCATAATACCGGCGGCAGATCCGCTCAATGCAGACATTGATGTCCGGCAGTACTCTATGATGTTGTGATTGATGGCCATCGATGTCGGCGAGTAAGCGATAACATCTGGTCGACTCTGGCCTTCTTTACGCGATCCGCGGCCTTGAGTTTGACTGTTTGATTGACCCGTCATTTGATACCGATTTTCGTCTGATTTCTGGTTAAAAGTATTGAAACAACAAATCAATTGACAAAACAAATCACAAACTCTGCACTCATTTCACACATAAATTATGTAACAATTTTTGACATTAATTTTGTGCTAATTTTGTAATAATTGTAATTAAAATATAATTAATTTGGATTTAATTTGTTATAAAATATTAGTTTTTAATAGTTTTCATGTCTTTTCATATATTTTATTAAAATTAATATTTTATTGTAATTCAAATAATTTGTTGTATGAATTAAATTAATATTTTTATAAACTTTAAGATTTTGAATGTAAACACAGTTTGTTTTGAATGTGTGATGCAATCAATTGTGACCGCAATGTCTTCAATATCAATGCTTAAGACATTCAACCGATTGCTGACATTGAAGCCAATATCGTGGACAACATCCAGAAGTATATCATATCTGTTGACAAAACTAAACAATAGGCAACTGATTGATGTCAATGGAAATGACTCTTATGATTACATTCAAGGTTTGATTGATATTGTCTTCAAGTGTCTTCATGTCATGTCTTAATTGATAACTAGGTTTGATAACCAATGATATGCGACACTTAAGATCATCATTGGAGACAAGTGTCACTCAGGACTGTATCTATGCTTTTATGTTAAACCGAACGGGAAGAGTGATCGCCGATGTCTTCGTCTATAAGAATGACCACAAAAAAGATGAGAAAAATTCACTTTTTATTGAAACTGATTCACAATTATTAGAGTCGACAGAAAAATACTTGAGATCGTATCGCATCCGACGTAAAGTCGATATTAATATTAATAGTCATTATAACGTTTGGTCTTTATTTCCATCTGTAAATCAATTTGATGATCAAATAATCACTGAATTAAATGAATGTGAGATTAACTTTAAGTCAGAAAATTGTGAAGATTTTTTGGTTGTCAGAGATCCACGACTAAAACAATTAGGTTTTCGATTATTAGTTAAGTATTATGAAAATGAATCGGAAGATAAAGTCAGAGATCGAGTTAAGAAGTTTTTACAATCAAAAAGTCTTGATATCAACGAAACAAATGCCAAAAATTATGACAAATATAGGTATCGTTTGGGTGTCGGTGAAGGGGTTCAAGATTTTCCCATTGAGTTATGCTTTCCTCTTGAATGTAACGGAGATTTTTTACACGCAATTAGCTTTCAGAAAGGTTTTTATTAGAAATTATCACTCAATAAGACTTATTGTAAGTAATAATAATAATATCATTATTAAATATAGGCTGTTATGTGGGACAAGAGTTAACGGCACGTATATATCATACGGGAGTTATCCGAAAACGATTGATGCCTATTGAGATAATTGATGGTAAAGAAGTGATTGAAAATATATCCATTCAAAATATAACCGCAAATATTGGTAATGAATCAAAAAATGTGGGAAAATTTCGCAGTCATTGCTCTACTAATGGTTTGGCTCTTCTTCGAGTCGATGATTGTCTTAAAACTGATAATTTATTTCTAACTAAAAGTGAATTAACCATTAAGTGCTTTAAACCCTTTTGGTGGCCAAAAGAGATGAACAAACAGTCCATTTCTAATGCAAAGAACTGACCATTAATTTTGATGATTGAATATATCTTTTTTAGTTTAATAATAAAAATATAATTAATTAATCAAATAAAATAAAATAGTTATAAAATTTTGTTTTATCTAAAATTATTGTTTTTAATACAAACTTTGTATTAACGGTAATATATTATTGACTTTTAGTCGTAATTCATTGCAATTCAAGTCAATACTGTATTAATATTTTGTTGCAATTGTTGTAACATTTGATTAAAATAATACAAGAATTTGTTTTTTATTAATTAGAGATTAAGTTTAGATTTCATAAGTATTTTAAGATATTTTTAAAACATTTTATTATGCAATTCATTAGCAGAAGAAGTGCTTCATTTGTCAGACAATTAATAGATATAAACTATCGACAAACGAGACAACTGTCTCAAGACAAGAGTGACAATCATTTGAATGATATTTACGATCCGCTATCAAATGAACCACCGATTCCTTCATCACATCGACAAAGACACGAATCAATTGATATGAAAAGAAAGAGATTGTTATATCAGAGCAGAAAAAGAGGTTAAAAATAATTGTTTGGATAATATGTTAATTGATTTTATTTGGATTTACTGTCTATTGTTTTAGGAATTCTTGAGAATGACCTCATATTAGGCACATTTGCGGCCAAATATCTAAAACAATTCAGTGATGAAGAACTTGATTTATATGACACTATCATTAATTTACCGTCAAATGATTGGGAACTGTATTACTGGTCTGTCGGCAAAAAGCAAGTGCCACAAGAGTTTCAAAACAAAGTTATGAAACTTTTGGTAGAATTTACCAAAAATAAAGACAAAGAGTGCCGATTGAGACAACCGGACCTCTAATTATCTTTTCATTTGACTATTTATTATAAATATATTATTTAATATTAACAGTAATTGTGTATAATTTAGTAAAAAATAAATGTTTAATATTGTTATTATTAATGTTAGTAATAAAAATACCGGTAATTATTTTAATCAAATAATTGGGATATAAATTAACGACAAACGTTCACTTGAGTACAACAATTGATACGGTAAGTGATGAAAATTAAAACATCGTTTTATGAAAGCTTATTACTGTATTTGCTGTTTATTTTTAGACTATCGGTAATTGTATTTATTAGAGTCAAACTGTTACCGATAGTCTTTTAGGTCAAAATCATCAAATCATTTCAAAATTTACAATAAGTTTTATAATTGATAGTAAATGTTGTGGACGATTGCGGTTAATCTCATTTATAATTTTTTAAAATAATTTATTGAATTTAATTCCATTTAAATACAAGTTATTTTCAATACTTTTAGTGACTAAATATACATTAATTTTCTACACAATTAATCGCATTTTAAATAACATTAAAATCTCTATTGACTATTGATTAGCCAAAACAATAGCGATTGCCGTCAATAATGTTAAACCTATAAATAAAAATTTTAAATAAGTTACAAAAAATGTGATAAATTGATTGAATTTTAATACCGATAACAGCGTAACCAGTGGTATATAATTGCTTCAAATCAAAGCCGAAACCATAATCCCATCCCAAATGTCTCAGACCATTGAATGTGTGATAAGCTAAAGATGTACCTAAAAAATATAAACAACACATTGTTTAAAACAGTTATCAAAATGATTGGTCACTTGTAATGTCTTATATATACCGATCAACACTTTAAGTGTTAAAAGAAGAGACGGCGGAGTATTTGCCGAAAACCATTGCAATATTTGTGGGAAATTTGTTTGACTGGTGAACAATGACCCGATGCCACCTCCGTATACCAATACAGCCAAACCCATACCAGTGATGCGGTGAGTAATAGATAATGTATTAGTCATTTGCCACTTGTATTGAATCCATGGACTCAATGGTCGGTTCATTTCCTTCTTCTTCTCCGAGTAGTCATCACTCGATACGGTAGCCATCGCTGATGAGCTGGTGGGCCATCGGGCGGCTATCAGTCGGGTGGACAGTAAGCCACGTCGTAATACAATATGTGAAAGCATTGTTTAATCAAATGTTTTTTATTTGAAATGTCGGATCAAATTCAGTGATAACTTCAAGAGTCTTATCGTTGTTGTCAAGTGTTTGCTTGATATCTAAAGTTAAGTATTTTATATTTTTGTTGATTCAATGCATTCAAAGCAATCACTTATTTCTACAAATTTATGTTACATTTTAAACATATAATAAATTAAAATTAATTTATAATATATTATAAATTATATAAAATTTTGTTAATTTTATAACAAATTGATTTAATTTTATAATTTCAAACATATTATAATATGTAATAAAAATATTATTTAAATCTATAATTAAATTTATTTATTTAAAAAATAGTATAGATTTTGTTGACGCTATTTATGAATTAATTGTATTTTATGTTTATATTTTGAGATTTGCATTAAAAGCCAAAAACAATTAAAAAATTGAATTAATTGATGAAAGTGTGAAAAGAGTGGACACTTGAAAACAATGATGTCTTGTCTGCACAGGTATGTGATGGTCAACACATGAATCAATCAATCAATCGTCTTATGATTATAACAATTGATTTTTCATTTAAAGGTTAAAATTATTGGCCGAATTACTACCGAAAAATCATCATTTAATTGACCACCAAATGTCTACGCCGTCGGTCACAAGTGTCCGACATTTTAATGCTAATCGCGCGGCAATCTGTAGGATATCGCGAACCAAATATTGTCGTCTCTATCCGGCATTACTGGTATATCCCGACGGATCGACGGTCACTGTAAGACACGCCGAACCGCAGCATATCATACAAATACCGAAACTTCTTGAGGACTGTAAGACTGATGTCGAGCGAAGACAATGGCTGTCCCGACGCAAGAAAGTGGAGACAATTAAAACTGAAAATGAATTTGATTTGAAGTTTAATCAAAAACAATATTTACATCATTTTAAAAGTAAATCCAGAGCTCAATAATTAATCACTTATTTTAGTCTTCAGTAATGTTTAGATTGCTTTTATAATTACCGGTACTTTAAAATTATGGATTTCATTGATTTATATTTCAATAGTTTAAATATTCAATAAATAAATAAATTTTAATAAATATCTATAAAAACAGTTATCAATTATAAACAAATAAAAATCAATGTTTCTCATCGATAATCACTGCTTTCAATTGATTCAAACGATTGGCAGTCATTACTACTTGTAAATTGTGGCTCTAATTCTTGTATATCATTTAAAATGGTATTAATTATATTAAATTCAAGTTTTGGTGCAATTGGCAGAAGACAACAATCCATAAGAAGTGAACGACTTGATTGACTGTATTGTGGTCTCAATTGATGGCACGGATAAAGAAAATCTTTTGAATTGGACTCATATCTGCAAACTGTTAAACCGTTTTCATCCAACAATTCAATACAAATGGTTTCTTCTTAAATATTTAATATCAAATTATTAATCATTTTTTTGTAAATATTGACAATTAATACCTGAAAGTAAATCCAAAAGTTGAGACTTATTATCACAATTGAAATCTTTGCTGAAAAAGAAGTGTTCGTAAAGAAAGATCGGAAATTTAAGTTTCGATTGAGAACTTATAGCCAAAGAGTTAAACAATTTTATGTGTAAACCAATGTCTGAACTATTATTATATGACATCCGGACGCCGGGACAGGATATCTATAGGTTTTGACAATTTATTGATATATCATATAAATAATCACTAAATTTATGTAATCAACAAATCAATCGACAAACCATACGAATCCTGATGTCTACTAAAAGTCGCATTAATTTATCGCTAAGTACTATATTATATGGTATAAAAATATCATACATATATAGTATATATCATATATGTGTAAATCAACAATTTATAATTTAAAAAATATTTAATTATGTATTAATATTGATTGTTATAAAAAATATTGAAGATTATTAATAATAATAATTATATTATTTATATCAATGATAATATCATATACAGTCCAGCATTAGGTTTATTGCTCTCAATTATATAAACTACTGTAAACTTACAGTATTTATAGACAAATAATATGAGTATTCATAACAAAAGTATTCATTTCTATGGCAATCATTGTTTAAGTAAATTATTGTAACAAATGATAAAATTTGAATTTAATATCAATTTAGATAAGCAAAACATTTATAGTATATTACTAAATATCAAACTAAATTTATTTTAAATTATCATATTTAAAAAAATGTTTTCAATTATTTGAAGTTTTCAAATTAAAAGATTTTAAATATTAACATGAAATAATCATTATAAAAAATTGCTAATTTACTTAATGAAAACAAAAAATAATAATTCATAGAATAAATGCAATTATTTTAGTTTTAATAAAATATATACATTTAGTTGTGATTTATTAACATTATGTGAATGATAATGAATATCACAATTTTGTTCAACATTTATAGTAACAAAACTATTATTAGTGGTTAAAAAATAAAACAAATTTTGCGACTCAATCGTCATAAATACCATTTTGTGAAACAATGACATAAAAATATGAGGCTTCGACTGAGTTATTCTCCAGACTATATCTGGTATGTGTCGGGATGTATACCTGTTGTCCCGTTTCCAATGACTTTCGCTGTTTGCCATTTTCGGCTGTCAACAAACAACTACCGCTTAACAAAAACAATTGAGTGACAGCACAGGCACTAAATCTTTGGTGTTTAATGGCACGCCTTTCCAATTGCATCACACAATGCAAGCCTTTATGAGGACTGGACCAACCTTTGAATGCATTGAAACAATACGACACATCAATGTCTTCGGGAAAAATACTTTTCGCGAATTTCATTGAATGTATTTGTTTGAGTAAATCCTTTCTTTTGTCTTCATCAGACCATTTAGAAACAATACATTCATATTTGGATCCATCGATTTCATTCCAATTCGCATCTTTCATCGCATCGTATTCATCTTCATTGTCCGGATTTTTATGTCGACCTGATTGACGAGTCATACCAAATATACGATAGTCTTCAGCACAATATTCAAACAGACGACGTATTGGCATAATTCTACCTTTTCTTCGCCTATATATATCTCTCGTTTCAAAGGGTTTTGACACATGAGAGGTATTTGGCATTGAGTTGTGATATGAAGTACTCGGAGTACTTGCAAAAAGTTTTTTCCCCACTGAAGACACTTTTTTGTTAGGACTGCTGTCGTTAGTTAAGATCAATTGACTCGTATTTGTGACGTTTAATACTTTCGGTGAATTTGATTCATCATTTAAATTAATATTTACACTATTGGTTGATGTATTCAATGAGTTATTTAAATCATTGGTTAATGAACTGATATTATCATGATTTTGCTTTAATGACTGGAATGTTTGCAAATGGTTCACATTATTACCATTTAAAATGAGATTTTGGGTTAAGTTGACTACTGATGAAGTACTGGCCAACTCTGAGACCAGATGCGGATAATTTTCAGTTATCATTTGGTTAACTTCTTCGAGTATAGAGTTTGAAGTATTGGCAATGCTTTCGGTATTATTAACACAATTATCAGTTGGATTCACTTGTGTGACATCATTAACCAATAGCTGATTTTTGTTCTCTAATGTTTCACATAAACTAATAGATTCAGTTGAGTGATGACTATGGATTCGTTTCAATTGTGGTAATGGAGGTAATGATTCAATAGATGACAATAACTCATGAGCTGACTCGCAATCAGGAATAATCTTCAATTTAGTCATCGTTTTCTCTTTTTTTGAATCATATTTATCTTCAGTTTGTCTGTTATTTACTCCATTTACTGATTCATTAGTGACATCCTGTTGTGGCTGTGGTGTAATAGTTGTCGTTAATGTGGGTCTTGTTTTTAATCTTAAATTATCGTCATTGGACTCATTGGTGATAAAGTCTTCACCAAACATATCTTCAATGGTGTTTTCGACCGTAAAATCATTTTTAAAAGTGTCCACTGCTTGGACAACACCGACGACTCGTTGATTTGATTTTACAATTTTCTTCGTCTTCATTATGTCTTTATTTTATAAGCATTTCTGTTGAATCAACAAAACTCATCACAAATACTGTCAAAACTCAGAGAAAAGAAATAGATTTTTACCCGTAAAGTATGGACACAATCATCGTAATCAAAGATATTGACAATCAATACAATTACACAAATCTTTATATTGACTATTAATATATAAAATCAATGATAATTTGGTGATAATTTGGTGATAATTTAGGCAACTATTGGATCAAATGGTAAGAATGCAAATGTAAACAAAATGTCAATCAATTGATTGCAATAATAATAATATAGTTATTATAAACACGTTATCATTTCAACTATGACTTCAATTACAGTATTGTCTTAACAATAATAAAGCGCTCAATACATGCATTAATATTACAAGTGTTGGTATTATACTATTATTACACCATATTTAACAAAAACAACGCTTTCGTCAATTTATATTCAAAAAATCAATTCAAAACGTTATTTATGTCTTAACATAAAAAGTACCAAATGTTTGGTTTTTGATATGTAGGGACCACTCATGCGGTGCTAAATGTGTGGCAAAAAGTTTGTTTGGCAATCAATATAGTGTTCCCTTTAATGAGTGTCAAACCCAGCGCTAAACAGGACAGTAGTGCTTATATGTGTAAACTACCAGTGCTTACAACACTATAAGTATATAATACTATACAATACTATTGGCTCAATGTTTAAGTGTTTCAAGAGTTTTCAAACTACTGTTACGATAGACAGCAGCGGTTGTGACCATAGTTTTCAAGTGATATAAACTTTGTTTAAAAGATATACTAAAGAGACTATTGTGAAGACAATTGAAGACATTGTGGTCTTCAGCGACCAAAATGTTTAATCAAAAGGCAAAGGAGTGGCCACTCAAATGTAAGTCATATTATATTATAGTATATTATATTATATTTGTTTATTTCACTGAAGTTTTAAACTTTTATATATATAGTCTTTTCCAATAATACCTTATATTTAAAGAGTAAACTATTTTTGAGTGCATAAAGTTTTGCCACAAACTTGTCTTAAACTAAAACTTTATTTACTTGTATTACAGTATATGTCTTACATATGTATTATAATGACATGCCGTGACTCACACTCTGTATATTAAATAAATATATTTATATAAAACTTTTTGTGTATTTTTGCCGACACTGTATGTAATTGTTGTCGAAATATAAACTGTGAGTTCAATAAACAGTTATTTCAATTGTTAGTGTTATATAACGGCACGCATTCAGTCATTCATTCATTCATTCATTGAATGCAAACAATTACTACACCATTGGGTTCCGTATTCCCGACTTAGGCTTTAATTGTTATCTTTTTTTGTTTGTATTTCTTCAAACACACACTTATTAAAAATGTTGATAAAATAATTTTTGCTCCACTTTTAACATAAATAATTTTCATCAACTATTGTCTGCTCTTATATATAATAATCATATTTATGTTGTTATATAAATAACCTAGATAGATCTTTAATTGACAACAACAATCAAGATTATAATGTTTTAGTTAGAAAACAATTATATATATATATATTTTTTGTTGTTGTTATAAATTAAGCATGGATATTACTACGACCATGTAGCTTTTTTATCATATGTTCAAACAAATATTATTATCAAAATAATAACAAAACAATATTGTTTTCATTTCGAAAAAATTGTAATAACAATAACAATAGTAATAATAATAATAATAATAAACATAATGTTTAAAAAACAATTTTGGGTCAAATTTCTCTTTTACTTATTATATTATCTTATATTATATTATTCATTATTATTAATGATAATGAGTTCATATTTACATTTGAATTAAATTTTTTTATTGTAACCAAATATTATAATATTTATATTATAATATAATATAAACATAATATAAGTTTAATTTCTAAATTATATTTTGACTTAGCTATAGATTTTTAGGGGAAACCTTGAGATATATGTTAACAATATAAATATAGTGCTATTATATAAATAAATTGAAAAAACAAATTATCATTTTTTATTATTTGCTCTAATCATGAATGCGAGGGAGAGTGTGACTTGAAATCATAACTTAAAGGCAAACAATCAAATAAATCACATAAAAACATAAGTTATATACAACTATTAAATAGATAACAGATATTCAATGAAACTATGTGTAAGCAATTGATTGTATTTAATATACAGCAATGTTTGTTATAGAGGCGTATTTGTTACATACATGACATGAATTGTTTTAATAATTGTTTTATTTAAAATTTGATGTTTGGTTATGTTTTCAAAAATAACTGATTATTATTATGGCTTTTGGGATGTACTTGAAAACTAGGCGTTCATTACAATACACTTAATATTTTTAGTTAATATTTTAGTGAATACAGTTTGCATTCAAATTGAATAAATGCCTTATTTTTATGAAATTCTTGTAAAATTTCAAATCTCAAGTTCAGTACTAAACTATATATGTTTTTCAATACATATAAATACATACAAATAAAGAGTGACACACTTCCCAATTATATTGTCAACTCATTTATTATTTTAGGCACATTTTGTTAGACACTTACAAATTGTTATAATTAACGTAAAGCCACAAATCTTTTATTTGTTTTTTTTTTAAATTTTAATAAATATATTTCAAGCTTCAACTTAATTTCTTATTGTAATAAATTATTATGCAATTAGCATATATTAATAATATAAATAAAATATAAAAATATAATTTTGATAAAAATATCATCAAAACTAATAATAGTCTTAAGATTTTTATTATAAGTTTCTTTATAACTATTATCTCTGAAATCTACAGTTATAGGATTTTACATACAAACAGTATTTTATGTCATTATTAAAGCATTTATTTTTATAAATTTATCATAAAATCTCACAAAGAATATGCAAAATTATTTTAAATCCAATTGAGTTTATTATTAGTATAAATTAAAATTATATCGAAATATATAATCAAATTGATTTATGGATATAATGTATATAATTTATAGTATTATGTTTTTTGCATTGTTAAAAAAGTTGTAAAAATACTTTCACAAACATTACTAGTGAATCATATCAAAAGCTACTGTATTTTATTTATCTAATTTATTATATTTAATAATAATAGTAATAATAAAAAATTTTATAAAAAGTAATAAAAAGTAAAAATAATAACATTTTTTAATTACCAAATACATGTATATTATTATTATTATTATTATTATTATTATTATTATTATTATTATTATTATTATTATTATTATTATTATTATTATTATTATTATTATACCGCATTTTTCATTTGTTTTATAAAAATAGAAATCAATGATTGTTATTATTTTGTATATAAAAGTTATAAATTGAAGTCAAAGCTCTCGAAAGCAGTTTTATTTTATTTATATTTCTATACAAACTATTATTTATAAAAAATATTTCAAGAAAAAAATGCTTTATGTCATGCAGTGAATATAATAAGTAGTTTTATAAAAATGAATTAAAAGTTATATCTTAAAAAATTATTGACACATCTAACACATCTATAAATCTTAAATAATATCAAGAAATGATATTTTGTCCTAAATATGAAAAGAGATGATTTAGCTGTAAATATAATAATGAAAGGCTTCCTAAAACCTGATATTTTCAATGAGAAGCTAATCTTTTGACTCCTGTTTGGGAAACTTTGTTACCATTTCCCTACTTTTTCTCTCTGTCTGTCTATCCATGAGCTCATGTTTATGTCTTTTATTTTTTTAACTCGATTTTTATCTAAAATATAATTAAAAGCTAATTAAGTTAAATATTTACATTTTTAAATGACAAAAGATTTTTTTGTCAAATTAATGCATAACCAATGATATATCTAAAGGCAACAGTTATTGACATTATATTTATATATTGATATTACATGTCATACCAACACTCATTAAATTCCCGGAATTTGTTTGTTATTAAGTATATATATTTGATATATATGTATATATAAATGAATATTTAGATTAATTTTACTCTAAACTCTAATTAACTAAATTATATATAATCTCTTTCTCTGTTTTAATAAATAATAAAATTTTAATTTTTTAATAATATTTAATTATATATTGTATTTAATGATTTTCAATCTCACTGAAGTTGAACTCTTATGTGATTTTTATTAAGACACTGAAATTATTTTCATATAAATGATAAATTAATATATTTTTTATGATTAAAATTTATGATATATATCATTATATGACTTAAGAGGATTAACTTAATTTTTAAAAATCAATTTTGATATAATATTGACGAGACTTTACATAAATTAATAATTTTATTGTGAGTTTAACATAAATAACTGAAAATCTAAATTGATTTTATCCATTGAATTACACCTTTTTTTCCAATTTCAAAAATATAATAATTTTGATTTTTTTTTCAAACAATTTGTGTCTAATAAGTGTTTGGTTTATTACTTATGGAATAAATAAATACAATAAATATAATGAAATATATTAAGAAAATTATTTGAAAACACAATATTTAAAAATCAATTTAAAACTTTTTTTGTAAAGTTCTTTGTTCTCGTTTTTATGCTTTGATTAGCAGTCAAACCAATGTAGAGGTGGTATTAAAATATGTCTATATTTTCATAAAATAGCAAACATATAGATAATAGTTTATATTACATAATAGTGTTTTATTTGAAATGTTTTTATGTGCTTTTTATTTCACTTAAATTCAACCCAAATATTATATCTATTGAATAAATGCTTTTAAAGAAATTTAATAAAAATTTACTGCAATTTTTCCTAAAAATGAATTATATTTTCAATTTAAAATAATTATATCTTTAACTTTCTATAATGTGTACTAAAATAATTAATTCAATTGATTAACAACATAGAAAAAATAAATGAATTCATAATTATCGGTTCAATTATAACTCATATCTCACTTAACTCAAACATTAAAATTGTTTCATACAAATTGGCAAATAATTATATTATTTTTACAATAATTTACAATATTATGTCTTAGCATTATAACATTTATTTAGCAATTATATTGAATTTTGTATAAGTGTTTAAAGTGATAATTGATAATATTTTGAATAGTAATACCAATATTGGTAACATTAATATCATGGACTACATGTCAGGCACCGACATATCCCCGAAGCGCTGTTGTGGCGCAGACAGCACTGCCTACTGTGACAGTCCGTGGATTTCTCAACTTTCGGACAACAGTTGACGGCACTGTTATTATATTCACTCCCGCATCGGCCGCATCATCGGAAAGTAGTGCCAAAACTGTTGACAAAATGCCGACCATTGAGACAACACAATCACCACAAACCATAATTAATACTAAATCATCGGTTTATCATCAAATAACGCCAACAAATGTGCCACAAAATATTGAGCCAACAAAACCAGTACAGCAATACCCGACTGGATTGGTTACAATACTCGGTGGAACTGTTGTTCGCAACGGCGAAACCACAGTTCATGAGACAAAAGTTATTGGCACTTATATTGATGGCAAATACGCTCAGATACTTCAAAGTACTGCCAGAATTGAGTCACCAATTATGCAAACGCCTACAATACGACCGACACAAACACATAAATCTAACGGTCCATCGATTATTGTCGAGTCACCGCTCAGGAAGGCTTATGCTGTTACTAAAAATGAAGAACCGGTAGTCGAGACCAAAACACCAGAGTCTGATGACAACGGTATTCAAAATTTTAGGAAACCTGAACCTCGAAGACTACACCCCAGGTTAGCTCTCAATCCTTTGCGCTCGCGATGGACTCAAAGCAATCTCAAGACAAATCAAGAGAAGACCGATGGCAACGATAACAAAGTTAAAAAGGCAAGACTTGGCACCAGAAGGTTCACATTACCTCCGAGATCATCGCCTAAAGTATGTATAGAAATGCTATTTATTTTTTGATTTAAACAAATTTTATTTTAGTTATAATTTAAACTATTGATCAATTTATTATTCATAAAAATAAGAAATATATATATATATTATAATTTAATTTAATTTAATACAAGTGTTGAAACAAAATGTTTATTTGTTTGAGAAATGAGTTTTGCATTTATATTAATTAATTTCTAAATTATATGCAAAATATGCAAAAAAGTAAAATTAAGTTACAAATAAAACAAAAATTTAGGAAAACGACACGACATATACAAATAAATTGAAAAATTATTATTTTATTTTATATAATAGATATATAAGGAAAGTATTTGACTTACAAAAAATTTATTCAATTAGAGAAGAGTGAATTTCCATGAATTTGTAATATTTTTAATAACAATTATAATCATTTTAAGATACATTGAATAAATGTTTTTGTTTTTTAGTTAATGAATAATTAATGTAAAAGTTTTTTTTTGATTGCTGTGTAGGTGTTATCCAAAAATATGCCATAACTTAACTTTTCTTAAATTGTATGATTTATAATTTATATATACAGTAATCAAGATTTATATATATATATATAATATATTGTTGATTTCAAAATCACAGTCAAATTATTATTTGTATGAATCACTAGATTGAAAGGATGATTCAAATGAAAGCAAATCATAAAAACTTTTTTCTTTTAAAAACAAATGTTTTTAAAAGTTTCAAAATATTATCTCAAATCACGTATCCATTCAATTGTGTGTAATATCACTTAAATACCCTAAATATCTTCAGGCAATTTGTTTGCTTAATAAACAAAACAATACTTTTACAAAACAAAGACTTAATTTTTAAGTCCAAAATTGATTAATGAGTTTAAAGCCATAAACTATTTCACACAATAAACAATTAAATATAATTAACAAAATTCACACTAAAAATTATTAATAAATTTTGTTTTAAATAAAATGAACTCAAAATACATAAAAAAAACAAAATTCTTTTATATATAAATTTTAATATTTTTGTAATGAATTAAATTCAATTACAAGTCAATGTTATTTTTTTATATTAAACTAAAGGTGCGCTTAAATCGTTTCAAAGCCAAACTGCCGGTCACTGATAGAGAGGAAAGACAAAGCTATAACTCAAGGATTCAGACACAACAAGAACCACAAAATGCCGAAACCTCGGAGTCAAAGACAGATGAAGAGAAGGACAGCGATCTTAGTCTTAAGGATACTAATATCGATGTCACGCCTCAAGAAAGTAAATCTGTAGAACAAGATATTACTTCAGAAGGCAATATAGATCCGACCAAAGTTGTCAAAGAGGTTCAGACAATCACTAGTGAAGTGACACAACATGTCGACGGAAATCACATTCAAGTGCAGACATTGACTTTGACCACAACAATACAACGTACACTTCATCCACAAGAGTTTGATACAGAAGTCATTGCACCGACAATACCTGTTGAGGCCAATGATGTCGATGCGACTTCAGTTCAAGAAACACCACCACTTGTCATCTCAAGGACCTATTCGGTGACTGAAAGAAGTATGAGAACAACTGTTGTGCCAGTATTTGATGGAACGGTCACAACCAGCCATACAGTTACAGAAAGTTTCTTTATTAGGAAACTAATTACAGCTTATAAGACATTACCGCCGGGAGATATGTTTCTCTTAGAAACGGCCGGAATGTCTGGCAATTACTCATTCAATACCGATTTAAGTGCAGCCGAACAAAGTCTTGATCCGTCGCCATATGAAGGTTTGTATTACCGTAATATAAAAGAGTTTGTATTTAAGAGTTTGTATGTTTTAATTTTGAAAATTTCAGGAAGTATTGAGATAACTGAAGAACCAAACAATGAGTTGCCAACACAAACATTACAATCGATATCAGTGCCCACAATAGACCCGAGTCTTAATATGCCTTTTATACAGAACAATCAATTGCCACAAATTGATATGAATAACCCATTGTTTTTAGCCGCCGCTCTTCAAAATCCACAGTTAGCCGCAATGTATTTAGGTTTACAACAATATAAGCAACAACAACAACAACAGGTCACACAATATAGTACTGTTACCCAACCAACCACTTATGTTACGACTGATACGGTATATAATACGAAAGTAGTCAGTTTCTATGACGGCCGATCAACACGATCCCGAACTATTGTAGAACCGGCCGGTACTACGGAACGAACTGTAGCCACATTTACCACTCAAGTGGTGCCAGTTTTTAGCCCCAATCTGGCCCTACAACAGGCACAGTTTAACAATGTTTTTGCCTCCCAATTGGTTGCACCTCAACTTCAGATGACACCACAGATGAACACAATTACCAAAACGATAACCACATCGACCAATGCTATTATGACTAAGACAAAGGTCTATACTTTGGTTTACAACGCTTTCAGTACCAGATATAGGACAGTTACCAGCACTAGCATTGTGCCCACTGTCCTCACTACTACTATAACCTCAACAGTACCACTACAAGTGGCAAACACTGCCCAACCTTTTAATATATTTGGATAATATATTGAGTCTCAAAGAGACATTTCATTTTTTACAAATAATCATACATTATATTCATGATTAAAATACTTAATTTTGTTTTTATATAAAATTTTATAATATTTGCCATTTACTTGTGACAATGGACCTTGACATTTTTGTTAATTGTTATATTATGATGCAAATTTATTATGTTTACTTTTTTATACAAGATTTTTATTTTTAAATAAGTTGTCATATGTTTTTGTTAAACCATTTTTGAATTTATTATATCACTATTATTATTTAAATTTTATTTAAAATATTTTAAGGATATAAATTTATATATATATATATATATTTATAAAGAGATATTTTACGTGTGAAAATTCAAATGAAAAATAAGTTCATGAATATCAAGGCTATTATAAGTATGACTTAATTTTACATTTATTACTATTGTTATTATTGTCACCGAAATTACTTAAGTAATATAATTAATGGCAATATCTGTATAGGATAATTGATTATCATAAATACCAATGTTATTGATTGTGATAATAATTTGAAGTTAATTTGAATGATAAATTTGATTATTTGTTAAATATTGTTTTGTTAATTTAACGTATACTACTTTAAACAAGGTCAACCAGCAATTGTTTTGTAATATTTACCAATTTTATTGTATATTTTCATTCAATGTAATTTGTTTTATTATTATTATTAATTATTAATTTTTATTTTGTAAATTAAATATTATTTTTAATTTTTACACTGATTAATTTATTAGAGTACAATAATTATTACTTAATTTATATAAAGTATTACAAAAGAAAGCCAAAACGTGAGAATTAGGTAAAAAATGTTTTAGTTATTTAAGATTTTCTCAACAATTTTCAAATAAAATTCATAATAAATTTTGGCACAAAATAATTTATGTGATAATAATTAGAAAATAATAATAGATTTGTGAAAATAATATAAAATAATATTTATTTTAAAATGTCTAAAATCTTTGGATAGACATAAACTCCGGCATCTTTGCCAAAGATGTAGTCCACATGAGTCCACTTGTTGTTTGGCACCAAATAATCATACATTAATGGCACTGATATTTTGATTAAAAAATGCAATCAATTTGCAATATTTACCCAAATAAGTGATAAAAAATTTAATTAACAATTACTAATACCTTTGAGTTGCTGTTTTAGGACATTAACGTCATTAATATCTGCCAACCAATCGTTTAATGAATAAATTAAAGCAATTTTAGTTGAATTAATTGAACTCAAATCATAATCAGGAGGTGTCTTCTGGCCATAAATTATTTCATTTTCGTCTTTTCCAAAATCAAATTTACGATATGTTGAGCTCTCAACTAACTGTCCAAAGTGTGCCACATTCCAGCTCGAGGTGCCCGACGGTGTGTGCGTGAAGTATACACCTAAACGAGTCTATAAATAATATTTATACTTTTTTTATATTTAAGTAAAATATTATTATTTTATAACATTCTTTTAGATTTAATTATAAATACCATATTTAATTGATTTTCATCAAAACCAGACATAAGGAACAGTATGTTTGAGCAAATAAATCGCAATCTTTTATCACAAAACTCTTCGGCCAATAGTCTGACAAATTTATCTGATGGTAAAAATTCTCCGCCAATAAACCTAATGTTAAAAATTAGTTTAAAATAATTATTTGAATTATAAGTGAATGTAATGATGATAAACCTGAGTGCAGAGGAAAGTTCAGCAAAATATCTTATCGGAGATTTTATATGAGACACATAAGCAACCGGTGCTAAAGCTATGAACGGATCAATGATTTGAGAATATTCTGGTCGTGAGGCTAACAGACCAAACATTATTGCTATAATATTTAATGCATATAATTATTAATGTTTATTATAATGTATATTGAAATTAAATATATTGAATAATAATTATCATACCTGTTCCTTGAGAATGACCGATATAAGCCAATGATGCTGTATATTAAAAAACTATAGTATTGTATTATGTTATAGCTATTGTCATATTTATATTTGTTATATGAAATATATTTATATTAAAAATATATTTATTATAACAATATATATTAATAATTAATAATTATTATTATTTACAATGATTTGTTTGTTTTAGTATGTAATCTATAATAGAAGGTAAGTCATAGGCAATCATTTCATCAAAAGTAAATTTCCAAAATTTTTTATCTGCAAATTAAAATAATTGTGAATTAAATTCAATTAGTAATAAAATTAAATTTATTAATTTAGTGAAACCTCTGGTTTTAAGTGTCGTATGATTTGTTGAGTAAGTATTTCCTCTAGAGTTTGATAGCCAAACATCAAAATTATTTTGCGATAAAACAAACCCTAAATTATTGCCAACAGATGTGCTGTTATGCATGTGATAGTCGGAAGCGTTCAGAAATGGAGAATTGATTATCCAGTCGGTGGACGACCCGAGCAAACCATGTTGTAAGAGGACTGGCCTACGATTGGCATCGACTGTATTGTTTGGATTAACAATTCGATGAATTCCCAAAATATAGCCATCTTTAGTGATTACAAAATGTGTTTCGGCTTTAAAACCTCTCGAGTTTATAATTTGAATCTGTTTAAAAAATGATGTTATTTTTAATTAAATATTAAATTAACATTTTTTTTATTTAAACAAGTTTTTTAAAACACTATTTGTGCCAAATTACATCATTTTATTACTTAAGTACTATATTTTCTTTTTTTATGCATTTTTTTTATTGAAATACTATATTTAAAATATAAACATTTATTTTGTAATGTCATAAATCATATAATATATTAAATAATAAATAAATATTTATATTAATTAATAAAATTAAATACCGCATTGCGTTCTTCGTCGGGATCTAACGATACTTCACTACAATTTTCATGTGATATGTCGGCACTGATTGATTCATTAATAATAAATATTAATATAACAAGTAATAAAACAATAAAATCGCATATTTTTGCCATTATTTAATAATTTTTGTAATAATCCGATCCAATTATTAATTATTGCGTTTATATTTTTTGTGGATATAATTTAAAATTTACTATTATTAGTCATATATAGATTTATCATATAGATATCAATATATTGTACTGTATATAATACAAAGTTTATTTTATGAACTTTATAATAAAAATGGTTAGTTATAAATATTTTCAAACAAAAATATCTGATAATATTCTTATCAATAATTTAAATTAAAAATATTTGTTATTATATTAATTATAATCACCAATGATTAATAGTTAATATCAGTTTATACTGTATTTATTTTATTTAGTAAATAATTTAAAAAAAAGACTATTTTAAATGTAATTATAAATTACTTACCATACATTAAATACATTTTCAATAAATGTACTCAAATAATTTAAGCTAGTACAATTTTATATAATTAATAGTTAAACTAAAAATGAATAAAATAACATATAATTTGATATAATATTTAATAATATAATATGAAATATTAATGTAATTTCTTAGAAACTTTATAATAATCTTTTTACTCAAAAAATTATCTGTTGTATACAAATAAGGAACATATGTACTATTGATTTATCGATTTATAAATATACTATAGGTATATATTATATATATAAAATATGAATGAATTGATATACAACTATTTATATCAGTATTGTATTATTAAGTAATTATTAGAAAAAGTATTGTTAAATATTTATATATATTTACACAAAGGGTTGTTTGCTTTCATATACTTTATAGACAAAACCAAAATTGAATGCTTTTAATACAGTATTATTATTATATAATATACTGTATATAGTTGTTTGCTGACGTCAATAAAACTATTGCATACATGATTAGCAATGATTGGATCTTAAGGTAAATCCAATGAAGCCTAACATACCTGTGCTGTATTCAAATTGATTAGTATTCAAAATCGTCTCTTCACTAACTCTTCAGTATATATCATATGTTAAAGTTTTATATGAATTCTTGTTTTTTGAGAGATTCTCTCAGTCTGTCATATACTGTAAAACACTGTTATAGCCTGTAGTCAAATGATACAGTAATATACTATAATAATAATAATAATAATAATAATAATAATAATAATAATAATAATAATAATAATGACAAAAATTGTAATTATTATAATCTCAACGTTTCTAATAATTCACTTAACTTTACATTCATATGAATGTCTTGATTATAGTGAAGATGACATTAATGTAATCTTAATTACAAATGATTGTCACAGAACTGGTGTCTGGAAATGTGGTCACCGTTTTGTCAGGGCTTACAAGTTCCTCAATGTTCTCTCTGAGGAACAATCATTTGACTCCAAGTGCTCTTTAAGGACTGTTAGTATTGAATGATTATTTACTTTAAAAAAAAAGTTTTGAATTACATATTTGTACTATTTATCTAATATTATCAAATAAATTATAGGCATTTTTTGAATGTCTCGATATGTGGTCGAAAGCCAAACGATGTCCAAAACATAAGACATATCACTCGCAACACTTCCGCCAACATCTGACTGAAACATTGTGGTCAACCAGAGGCTGTCTTACAGGTCATCGGGAATAATAAAAAAAATTATTATTCAGTTTAAACTTTTTTAAAACTTGTAATATTTAAACTCAAAAATATTGGTAACAACTTTGTGTTGTTTCCAAATTCAAGACCAAATCTGATTCAACAAAAAAGTTGTGCCAAATATCGTCCCATATCTCGACTGATGTTATAATTAGATATGAATTTATGATTTCAGTATTTCTACTTAATTTTAAATTTATTTATTTTAATCTATTGTACATATTTTATAAATATTTTTATTTCTTTAATTGCATAATATTAAGGCATTGTTTGACAGTCAAACTTTTTTTGACCTAATTTATTGATGTTAAATTTAATACATTTTTCAAAAATAAAGATTTACATAAATTTATTTATTTATAAAATATTAATTAAGAAAATAATATTTATGAAATATACTAATTTAATACAAATTTAAAAATATATTTTTTTTATCATTTTACTGGTAATTGATTTATAAATTAACATAAACAAATTGAGGCTATTAATAGCAAATGTTATTTAATATCATAATAGTTAAGCAGGTTATACTACACTATATAATACAGTATTATGAATTAATTATAATTATTATTTTCAAGGATTGAGGCAATTATTTTATTATAGAAACACAAACTAATTGTATATTTATAGCGCAATAATACAATTGAGTTAATTAAAAATCAATGAACATATTATACAAATAAAAGTTATCTTTCAGCTAAATACATAAAAAACAATGACTCGTTTTCAGGTTTACTAAATTTGGACACAAAATTAATTTTATAAATCGATTCAAAGCCTTCCGATGTCGACGGCATCAAAAAGTTTTTGTTTTGAGACCTAATCACGAGGTCAGTGACGGGACTATTAATACCTATGATTTGTCTAAACTTATTGTTATGAAGTGATTGGTTTACATTAATATCAAAGTAAAAAAGCAAAGGAATCGCAGAGTACTTCTTAGAGAGTGATATCCATTGTTTACGACTCGCGAGATCTACATTCAGGTTATCAATGACACAGTTTTCATTACTTCTTAAATGTGATTCACACTTCTTATAACATTTTTCCATCGTTTTTAACTCATCTCTGGACACATAATAATAACTAAATTTTCTTAAATGATTCAAATATAAGGATGACTTTCCCGAAGCGGGTAAACCACAAAACACAATTATATGAAGACGATTATAATAGTTGGCCAATAGATCAGTCATATCTTTATATTGTTTACCGGTTTCCATATGTGAAGCTATAAAAGTCATATCTTGTTTTTTGGGCCGATATGTAGTGACAGGAAAACCCGCATAACTTGTATCACAGTTCGCTTCTCTACCCTTTGGCTTTACATCACTTAAAAAGCGTTCGGGAGTTAAGAAATTTAGACCACAATTGGCGGCAAACAATAGATCTGCTGCGCTGTGATCTGATTTGCCGTTTAATTGCTTTTTACGTCCGGCAGCATCACCAACAAAAAAGCTGGTCTTCATATCAATTAACATATCATTATTTAAGTCATTGGCCAATAGTTGCCACAAACCGGGTCTCGGTTTTCGATAAATATCATCAAATGCACCGATCATTACAAGACAGGGACAGCCAATTGCAGTCAGAGCTGATTCAAAACGTTGTTGAATATCCTCGAGTTTAACCCTTCCCTGAGATAAACCCAATTGATTTGAAAAGATAACAAAACGAAATCCTTGTTCAACCAGTTTCTCAATTTTTTTCGGCAATGATTTATCCAAAAGTTTCCAATCGCTCGAATCAATTGCAAATTTATTTCCCGATTTGGGTGAAACTAAAGTCTCGTCAAAATCAAAAGCGGCCACAAATTTACTGCATTGTCCGCCGCCGAGAAATTTGCAAATATGAACCCGATTTGCATTCAATGACATCCATTGGGTGACACCAGTTGTGACCACTTTGTCATCGCTGCCGAACTTATCAATCGCTGAATTTACAAATTAATAGAAATAATTAAAAAAAAAATATTAATATAATATATGATATGATATAAAACAAGTCATACATTTGAAATCATTTGCAGAGTCGATGGTATCATCAAATGAATCCAAAGATTTGTCAATCACTTCATTTACATTCAAATTGTTATTGTTTTCAATAAAAACTATTTTATATTTAAATCCAATTCCCGATAATAACTGTCCATTTGAAAGGTATTCACTTTTATTAGACTTGCAATAAACTACTGAAACTTTGTTGCCGTCAAACGTGACCTCACAGTAACTTCGGGAACACTTTATATCACGTATACGACAGCATCGGTTGCGGCCAACGGTTAGACGATCGCCGATCTGTAATGTTTGGTGTGGTATGTCTTGAGATGTACTCAACAATCGACATATTTTAGCCATAATGTGTTCAATGTGTCGGTAATTGGCGGCAAACTAGTGGCCACTTCTAAATGCAGTCAATCCATCAAATGATATACTATTTAATGATAACATTTGTTAAGCAAATGTTGTAATCACTGATTGATGTCATTTAATAACATATAATAACATATATTAAGTCTATTAAGTGTTTCACAAGTTTTACAAATCATTTGTATTTTATATTAATATTTATTATTAAATATTGCAGTTATTGTCACGTGTTTTATGCAATGTTTGCAAACGGATCTTACATTTAGCGCTAATTTTAATATTTGTTACAAATATATTGATATTTCTTTATTAATTAATTAATTAATATGAGTTTAAATTACTATTTATATAAAAAGTTATTAAAAGATATTTTCATATTAAAATCAAACTATTTTAGTTTGTTATTAATTAGTAATTTATAAAAAATAAAATAAAATATGCTTTAACTAAAATAAGATTGTTTTTGAATCAAATATTATTTTTATTATTTGAGATTTAAAAATTAAAAAAAAAATGTTAAAAACAATGAAAAGTTAGTCCAGTTTTCATTTGTTTTGTTTAATCGAGATTTCTCTCCAATCGTCGAGATTTAATGATTACTCTTCTCATATGTATTGCAATACAATTGATAATAATTAAGACTAAAACCGATACATATATTAACAGATGAGAGATACCAAACAAAGGTTGCCAACTGTTAAGTGTTAGTTCACAGGATTGTTGGCTAATATTATTAAATCGATAATCAATGACACAATCGGGAAGTGCTGAAACTGAATGGCAATTTGTCGGGTAATTTTCATATTGTTGTATTGATCTCCAACCACAACAATCATAAGTTTGTTGAAATTGATTGAGTTTTATAATTGCTTTTTCAAAGTCAATAATAGTCGTATGTTTGGGATTTTTTAAACAATTTTTAAGAATATCTTTCCATTTATTAAATAAGACATCAAAAGTTTTTTTTGCCGATTGCTATCTTGAAATCACTTTTCGGGACAAAAAACCAATAAATTGAAAATATGGTAAAGAATGCAATTGTGGCAAAACTATTGTATAAATATTTCTTCAGATAAAAAGCAGAGTTTTTCAATTTCAAATTTTCAACCAAAGTTTAGGCCATTACGAGAAAATTAATTTTTTTCAACAGAAAACAATTAATTAGATCCTAATAAACATTTATTGATCAAAATTATTGCGCGGAAAATCCTAAAACCTAACTAAAACTAAATCTAAATCTAAATACCTGAGTTCACATAACAATATAATTTACTAATTATAACAAAAATTAATATTAATAAACATAAAGCGCGTGAATATTGCTATCAATGACTATATAATAAACAATAGTATTATCTATACGACTATAAAAGTTAAAATGTTTGTATGTTTGTATGAATTTATGTGTCAATGTCCTCACAACCTAATCTAATATTCAATGCTAATTTAACCAAACCTATACAGTACTGGGTTACCGAATAAGTGTTTGTCGCGTTACCTAACCTGGTTTTCGATCCGCAACCTAACCTAATTTTCAAAGTAAACCTAATCTAATCTATACAGTACTGGGTTACCGAATCAGTGTTTGTCATGTTATCTAACCTTCATATTTTGGATTTATGTTCTGAAATCATATTATTATTGTGGTTCAATTAATTTATAAATTCTATAAAATTAGATGCTTATGTTCCGCGTGGACAACTAGTTGTTTTTAAAAGTATTATAAAGAAATGACAACAATACTATTTTATTATCAAAGTTATAAATGTTAATTTTATTCACGCGCTTTATGTTTATTAATATTAATTTTTGTTATAATTTGTATATAATTATATTATGAGAGCTCAGGTATTTAGGTTAGGTTTTAGTTGGGTTTTAGGTGTTTCCGCGCAATAATTTTGATGGATATATGTTTTTTAGGTTCTAATTAAATATTTTCTGTTGAAAAAACTAAATTTTCTTTTACGGGTTTAAACTTTGTTTTAACGATAACAAAGACCAGTAATGGTATCATCAATAAGAAGTTATAGACAACCAGTTGAGTCTGATTCTGCTCGAGAGCGACAAACATAACTATAATTGTGGATTCAATCGACCACAAGATTATTGTTATGTGAAACAAGTTTGTGGACATCAGTATTGTGACAATCAATTTGTTTGGTCCATAACTTAGTAATACTGACATTTCATTTACTTTTATTCAATTACTAAAATAGTTGAAAATGAGTTGTGATGTCAAGCATTTCATTAACCGGTAAATAATATTTCAATTGAATTGCACGCAAATACTATAATATCCAATAATTAAATTAATAGTGAGATATTTTATTAAATAAAATTTATTTATCATAATATGATACTACAGTATAATTTTTATGTTATACTACAGTAAAGTATTGTATAGTTTATTGATAGGGTTAATAGACAAACTAAACTGTACATGCACATTTTACCAAATTAATAATTTGACAAATTATTGAATAAAATAAGTATATTTTTCAAATAAAAATGAATATAAAAGTTATTTTGACTTAAATTAACTTAAAATAGATAATACAGTAAATGCTTTAAATTGAAAGATGAAAATTATAAAATAAAATATAAAACAATCGTTAAAATTGTATAATTTATGTGTTTTAGTAGTTATGAAGCAATGGTTTGGTTTCTTGTTTCATAGCAAAGAACAGACACATCGTGAAGATTATGGATCCGACTTCAACCAGAATTAGTGCCACACAAATGCCACCAATAGCTCCACCTCTGATCTCAAGAAATCGACGCAAATTTTCACCACAACTCTGGTATTTGATTATTAAAATAAATAATTAAATATTAAGTAATTTATATAAACATTAATCTATGTTTTGAAACAAACAAGACTTTATTAGTGACTAACTCTTATTTGAATATTATTAGTCCGTTCACTATTACACGACACGGGTATATCCTGATTGACTTTTTGATAATCCAAAAATGTTTCGGCACCACAACAATCCAACTATTTTATTCAAATCAAACAATTATATAGTATATAGAAATAAAGTTGAAATAGTTTTATTAAAATTAAGCCAAACCTTCAATTGGATCAAATCGAGGAATCTTCGGGACGTCTCATCAGTGTTACGGCGATCGATATGCCATTTAAGTTCATCCGACAAAACACGTTGTAACTGTATTTACAAATTATAAGTTAACATAAATTTATTGTTGTTATTATCGTAAATTAATTTGTATTACTCGGTCTCCTCCGGCAATCTTCCACACGAGGACTGTGGCCGCTATTTGCAGTATTATAGCCACTGCTGTCAATGCAAAGTACTGTAATTTTATAATATTAAAAATACATTTTTTTAAAATAAAATCTTTAAATAAGATATGAATAATACGTACGACAATAAGCATACACGGGCTTTCCATAGCAGCCCCCAGACAACCGATAAAACCGATAACCAAAATGACGGCACCGGCAGCCATACATAAGTAACAAGCGATATAATATCTTTCAATATCTAAATTATCCGTATACTCCCAGAGCCCACCATCACCTCTAACCCAAATAGCCACTCCCAATAAAATTGCTCCCAATGTCTATCCCATTGACAGATAAAAAATAAATTTTAAACAATTTTAGATATAAATATTACTTATTAATATTTTTAATAATTTACAATTTATTTTTTTAATTATAAATTAAATGACATGTTTGTTAAAAATATAAAACAATTAAAATAAATATAATTAGTGCCACACCTTAGTTTGTAAAATAAATTTTGAATACATACCCAAACTATAAAATTGATGGCAAAAAGCAAGTATTTAATACAAGCAACCGCTGGATCTAATGAAGTCATTATTGTTGTAGTTATATATTAACTTATTAACTAATCATAGCATATATTATTAATGATTGAAACAATTAAATGGACAAAAAAGTGTCGCACATATGAAATATCTAAATGAAGACACCTTTGAATAATGCAATGTAACGGCACCTATATCTTAGAGCAACGGAAATACTTCGTTAAATATATGAATAATACAGATAAATATGTTGTGGTGTTGTGGTAGGCGTTCAAGTGATAACATATCTATTGTTACTATTGTTACATATTTAACAAATATTAATCTTTATTTAAGTCCTAAGTATTAAATTGTTTTGTTTGTGTTTTAAACAAGTATTGCTTAACACTTAACTAACGATAATTCAATGATTGACAACAAATTGAAAATTAAAATGCATTTTATAATTTTTTGTTATGTGTTATTGATTCAACAACATTATGATATAATTTTACATTGTTTAAATATAATCTAGCAATGTCCAATAAATTGTTTGAATTAAATTTAGTTAATTATTTTTTTGTTGAGAAAACCAGTAGTTTATTTAAATGTTTGTTTAATAAATAATTTATCAAAGTTTATCATTATAAGTATTTGTAGTTTTGGTTATAATCTAAGTAATAGTATAAAGTTGATGTTTTTATTATTTAAACAAAACTTTTATAAAAACAAATTAAAATTAATTAATATTATTTTCTACTAAATAACTAATGTATATAAACTTATAACTTATATACCCGATGACACAATTTTTCAAAATTAATACAATTTATTTTATTAAGAGTTTACTAATTGAATGTTTCATCTTTACAATTATTTATAAATTACATTTAAAAATATAGTGTAAACCTTGTTAAAAACTTATTTATAAAAATTGATTAAATTGAAACATTAGTTTATTTTTGTAATAAAATTGAAAATAAACAAATAATTACCGGTAATTAAATTTTTAAAATTTAATATTTAAAAAATAATTATTATTAGTCATAGTATGCTACTGTATTTATTATATATAAAAAATATATTTTATGATTAACTAATATAATAAGTAAAATGAAGATTATTAAATTTAGTGTCATTGATATTAAACTAGTATTATCTAACAATTTTGATAACTATTTCATTGAATCAATAGTAGTTTGTTTGGCACAAAATAATGTTATAGAGAGACCAATCAATAATAATTGTATTAACGCTGAGAACAAACACAATAAACCAATTATTCCGGATCTGAGTTCAAGAAATCTTCGTAAGGCTCGACCACAACCCTAAACATTATAAACATTTGTTAATTATTAGGAATTAATGCAAACATAAGTAAATAACTACTATATATTGATATAATCTAATAGATGAAAATAAAGTCATATAATATTATTTATTACCACTAATATTAATTGTGAGTACGAATTACATAGTGCCTGTCATTTCATAAATATATTTCATTTAAATAACTATTTGTTTTATGTGTTTATTTTTAATACAACATATTTTTGATATTTTCTATTATAAAACTACTTTTTCTAACTTAAAACTACTTAAATATAATTATATAAAAATACATGTACATACATACAAAATCATATATGATACCACTATCATACTCATTTTTATATCTACTTTTTGTACATTAGTTATTAGTAAAATAATTAAGTTTTATTTATCTATTACTTTAGCAAAAAAATCAACTAATTAATGCAATAAAGCACTTAAATTTGAATGTTAGGTCTAACCTGTTCGTTGACATATGTAGTTCCTGACAAATAACATGATGTAGGGATTGTCATACCATATCTCGCATAATCATTGAATGATTGAGCGCCACAACATCCCAACTAAAATTTAGTAAATAATTAAAATGTTTGACTTATATATAATAATACAATAATAATTATTTTAAAAATTAGTAAATACCTTAACTTGAAAAAAGTCTAGAAATCTGCGGGACTGGTCATTGTATTGCGCCTGTTGTAGGTTTTGTAATATCTCCTCATTTGAAAATATTTCTAACTAAATAAAAATATAATAATAATAATAAATGTGAATAAATGAAAATAACTTATATCAATATAAGTCATCTATCAAAATGATGGTAAATTATGTTAATATTTATATAGCATTGTATAGTACTGTATAATATTAAATATAAAAATTTCTATTACTCTCTCTCCAAATCCATGAAATATTCCCAAAACAATAGCAGCGATTTGCATAACAAATAGACATATCAATATTGTGAAATACTATATCAAATATTATAAATATCATATACAATATTTGAATAAATCAATATTTATATAACAATATATAATAATATTATACTATACTGTAGCTAAAAGACATGGATTTTCAGTGATGACACCAATGAGACCAACAAAGCCCAGCAATAATATGATAAATCCCGTAATAATCATAATCATAGAGGCGTGAAGTATATTATCAGTGTCAATGAACCGACTGGGCTCATATGATTTTGGATCAACCCGTAACCATATACCAATACCAAGAATAGCCCATCCAAACAACTATTGATTTTTTAAAAAATATATTAAAACAATTGATTTTAATCCATCAAAATGTATACATACCCATAAAAGAAAATTAAGTAGTATAATACAACTCTTGAGTAAATTCATGTGTTTATATGAGATAGTAGTGGGCATATGTCGAGTAGGAACCACACAAACCAATTTAGGACACCTCCACACAAATACCGGTTCACTTTGGGGCCTATAGTTAGCCGATAATTCTATATGTTGGGCCAGTTTTACTTATTTTTTAAAAATAAACACTTACTTTAAACAAAAATAAAACTTTTGAGTTTTATATTTATCATCACTTTTCACTGAAATCCAATTTATTTCTTGTCAAACATTTATTTGTTACCAAACATAATGTAACTAAAAAATCAAAATATTTTAAAAATAAAACTAATAATCAGTCAAAACTGTATACAGTTTCGTGAATTTATATAAATAAATCTATTTAAGTTATTAAGTCTAAATTTTATAGTATTCTTATAAAATATACAGTATATTAATATAAGTTTTATATAATAATATTAATCGCTTGAGTATAATTATAAATTTAAATTTTAAAAAAATTAAATATACAATTAATATGTAATGTTTTTGTCAAATAATAAAATTTATTTTCTTTATTCAGATAACAATAATAACTAAAAAATAATCAAAAATATTTATAATTTTAATTATTAAAATAATAACTGAATGATGTAACAGTCAATATTAAAAATTAATTCAAAGTCATATCTGAAAAATTAACAGAAATAATAATTAAATTCAAATGTTTGTATGACTAATACTTCCTAAAAATTAAGCGTAAAATTACTTTCATTAAAGTAATATTATAACAATATTTTTATGAAATTATTTGATAAAACCAAAACATTATATATCTTGTAGACATTTTGTATGATAATACTGTATAATAAAAATTCATACATTATATCTAATACATAAACTTACACTCACTAAATATTTATAATAACTGTAATATTATTTTCTATTGACTCTACTCCACAACATTGGATGCTAAAACATAGAGCACCTGTATATGTAAGATAACTGTTGACTTAGTAACTGATTTTTTCAACTTTCAGTCAAATTCTACACTTAAATACCATAATATAAAATATAAGATAATAGGATATTTGATAATAGTATAGTACTTGTGAGATATAATTGTGTTAGTTTTGTATACTTTATTTTTGTTATGTTTTGAATACATAAAGTAAAATCATAATTATTAAAATAATATAATAATTTATATTACCAGTATATATAGTGTGTATATAATTTATTTTAGTATAAGATTTTAATTTATTTTTGGAAAAATTCAAATCACAACACATTTGAAATACAATATAATTATTATATTAAATACATTTACATTATATATTAAATCTTTATTTGTTGTAATAACAATCATAGAATAGTAAACTATATTTAAATAACAATTGACAGCATATATGACCAAAAATGTTTGGATACTTCAATGTATAATTACTAACGAAACAGTTGTTTTTTACTTACCTGTAATCCACTACTTTTCATTCAATTTTATGACTGTCTTCTCAAAGAGTGAAATAAGTTTTAAAAAAAAAAATTTATAAATTTAAGAGTAATTATTAAAGCATGAAAAAATATTTAATTAAATATTTAGAATTTTGTCTAAATATAATGCAATAATTTTCAAAAATCTGTAAAAATATTAACTATATCTGCTATAGTTATAGACTCAAAAAGGTTCAAAACAGTAAAAATAATTTAATATTAAAAAATATGTTATTGCAAAAAAATATTTTTATAAATCAATCCGATAACTAATTTCAAAATTATTTAAGCCGATGAATATTTTATATTTATTTTAAACAATGAACAACTTATTTTTGATAATATTAATTTAAATGCAATGCAAAATAAATTATAAATATATAATATTTTTAAGAATTCCACAAAAAATGGATGTTTTTCTATATTATAAATAAAGATTTTGTTAGTTTTTAGTAAATATTTTATTGAATATTATCAGTTTATATTAAATATTTTTTAATGCTTTAGTAAATATATAATCAATACTTTGTTTATTTGCTTAAAATTAAGAGTTATTTTTAATCAATTTAATGTTAATTTTATCAAATAAATGTGAACTAATAATTAAAAATTTATGTTAAATATAAAATTGTATTGATTTGCAATATACTTGAGTTGTTTCAATTGTATTAAATAAATGTATTTATAATAAATGCACAATTTTTCAATTATTACTTTTGTTAGCCTAATATTTATTATTATAAATATGACAATATTGTAGATTTAATTGTTAGTCGCGAACAACTAAAAACTACTTTGAATTAAAATATATGATTTAATATAAAAACTGTTGGATTAAATAGTTTACATAAATTAGTGAAAACTTGAGATATGAGTGAATCAGAGGAGAAAAAGAAGGATTCAAATGATGTCAATGAGAGACCCGGATATACCTATTCGGCTTCATTTGACAAACAGTCCGATCAAACGGTTCGCGTGAGACTTGAAATCGATGGCAAAACACAAGTAGTTCCCATTTGTGCCATTTGTCACAAAGTCGATAGAATCTGCTCTTTGGATCCTAACTTCACTGAAGAACAAATACGAAGAGCTAAATATTTAGGTTTAGAAGACGACAGTAAAGACAAAAACCGAGAATCAGCGACAAAGTCAGACACTGGAGAACAACAGTCTGACTCTAAGGACAAAACTTCAGCTGACAAGGGATCAGAAGGCAAAGATGCAAAAGATGGCAAAGATAACAAAGATGGCAAAGATGGTAAAGACGGTAAAGACGGTAAAGACGGTAAAGATGGCAAAGATGGCAAAGAAGACAAAGATGGCAAAGACGGCGGAGGTTCTGGAAAGTCATCGAAAAGTGATGACAACAAGAAAAAGAAGAAATCAGATTCGGGAAGAGATCAGCGACGCAAAGAATTGCCACCAACTTCTTGGACGACACACAAACCAAATGAAGACGATTGGGATAAGAAAAGAAGGAAAGACTATTAGCCATTGACTGATAACTCATTGCTTTTCATGTTTTATCGCAACACTTAATGAACAAAATTATCGATTTATTCAAATGCTATCATTTCTATGTATTTCATACTATTGTTTAGATTTCAATTAAAATTTAGATTTCAATTAAAAATGATTTTCATTTATTTTAATAGAAAAATACTTACATTTTTAGTGAATAAAAAATAAATACAAATTTTAAGAAATAATTTATTGGTTTTCAGTATATAAGTAATACAATGTAAATGTACTAGTATAAATTTGGTATTACATAAATTAACATAAATTATTTATAAATGATATTAAAAATCATAGGTTTATATCACAGTACAGTTTAATGACAAATAATTACACAAAATTTTATGTATGTATTATACAAATCTCATATTAGGAATCAATATACTCTATAAATTAAATTTAATTAAAAACATACAATACATTATCAATTATACAGTATAATTGTATTAAATTAGGTAATAAATTAGCGTTTACACCATACATATAGTAATAATTGATATATTGATAGTTAAAAATTGTTGATAAATTGTGAATATTTAAATACATAAACTTTGTTCAATTTAGTATCAAATTATATATTGATTATAAATTATTTATATTCTATTTATTATTAATATCATTATTAGTTAATAAATATATTGAAAATAAAAATCATAGGTAAGAACAGATGCAATCAATTTGATTGAAATATCCCTTCAAAATACTCATTCAATTCTCTAACAGAGAATTCATTTACACTAATAATCTCTTTTCAAAAAATAATATTATGGATTGACATATAAAATGTAAAAATTCAAATAAATAATTAAAATAAAATATAATATCACTTAAAAATTATTTTACATTTACCATAGTACTGGTTTTTATAATGATAATGATTATAAATATTGAGTTTTAATGTTGTATATGATTATGGAATTAAGATAAGAGTATTTTACAAACAATTAAAAAGTTTGTATTAATATTTTGTATAATAATAATAAAAACAGCAATTTATACAATAAAAAGAAAGTTAATAAAATTATTTGAACTAATTATCACAAACCTAAACCATATTGAAAACATATCAGTCAATCACTGGACGTTCAAAAATAAAACCCAAAAATATAGTTATTATGAGTTTTACTGGCAATCATTATTAGACATTTGGACAGTTGTGTCCCCAATAAGAGGCACGTCTTCATTCGTAACAAAACTACAACTTTCTCTAACTTTGAGCACTTTTACCTCCTGTTTGTCACATTTACCTCTATTACTACCTCTACTACTACTTTCATTAATAACTTTATCGCTCATGAGTTCAGCTCTTTCTTCATCACAATAAATACTCTGATGATTACTACAATCATCGCAATTATCAAATTGCTGTCTGATTTCATATAATTCAAAAGCAGTGGATCTCCTCTTATTAAGGATAGAGTCTGACAATTGATGATCTATTGTTTCACATGATTTTGAAGTTAAATGACTCATATTATCTGCCGATTGATAATAAGTCCGAGATTTGTGTTCCCGAAGCGTTTTCAAACGCTTTTTGTTTGCATTCATATTTGTCTGATTAGACAAAGATCTCAAAAGTGATGGCAAGTTCTTTATGGATAACTTTTTCAATGAGATTTCTGACAATACTTTTCTAGTCTTGTGTTTAATGGTTTCCGAAGAACCAAAGTCTATCATACTATGAGTTTTGGTTATATTTTCAGGACTTATATTAAGTTTATTTCCATTTTTAATGGTTTCTCCACTACAATGAATTGCAGTCTTTGTGCTCTGACTCGAGTGACTTCTACTTTGACACAAATCATCAAATGATTCTTCAAATGATTTATCAATGACTGGAGTTTGCGATGCGATTTCAATTGATGGCTGAATTGTCAATTCATTATTTTCATTATCTTAATAATTAAATAGATTAACAATTATTAACAAATAAAGTAATATTAAAACTAAATGAATATACCTTGAGATACGATGCTATCAATTATTGATGTCTCGGCTGTATCTCTGCTTTGGGTACTTAAATCAAGTCTATTATCGGCCGCCGATTCGGACGACACAATAGCCGGTTCGTGACCATCGCTGCTCTCCTCTTGACTCGCTTCGGCCAATCGATTGTAAAAACAATTAAACTTTTCTTCCATTTCTTTATTTTTAAATATTATATTTTTTGGTGAAAGAGTCTGTTGTATGTCCTTTCGGGAACAGTTGTGACACAAATAATTGGTTTCAATTCGATTTGGCGGTGATTTCTGTTGTTTGTTCTCTTCAATTGATTTCTGTCTAACCATTTGTGTCTTTTTGGTCACTCCTTGTTCTTGTTTGCTTTGTATGCCTGAAGGTCCAGCACCGCTGTTGTTGGAACTACTGGTTTGTTTAGTCGAAGATTCGCTACTAAATGATGACCGAGAGATACGACTTGTATATGTCGAGGCCGAAGACGAATCCTGTCGAGAGCAGGACATACTCGAGTCTTGCGATGTCTTAAAAATAAAAAATGTTATAAATTTGTTGCAAATTTTAAATATAAATTTAGAAATACTTTTCGTGATATATTCCATGAATTTCTTCGGCCGCGAACCGACTGAGTATTGCTTTGATGACCAATATTTTGGTTAGTTTTGTCAATATTCTTCATTTGAATGTTTGTATTACGCCATGAGTCAGATCTCGAGGAAATGTTGTCACTCGATATACTGTGAAGTCTTCCGACAGCTCTTTCCTTTGATTTCTGACAATCATTGCTTTCGGTTGTATTTTCATTACTAAAGTTTAGTAAATCAGTCTTTTTGTTAAAACTCAACCAATCAATAGCCCTCTGTCTCCAACTGAGTGGTGATTTAAGACTAGTTAGTAATCTGACTTCTTCTATGGATACCTAATGTCCAATATTTGTCAATTATTTTCAGTAGTTCTTCAGAAATAATCAATGAAACTAACCTTTGGTTTACGAACACCGCATTGACAGACCAGTTGTGGCATTTGGTCACTACCGGTGCTCTTCCTTTCAATGGCTGAATTAGAGACAGCAGGTGTGTGTCTATTGGAAAAATTAGATGAATGTCTGCACCGACCTATACCGCGAGTCACGCGAGACTCTTCAATACGTTTACACAATAAAACGCAATCTTTTTTGAATTGTTTGGTGAAAATGGCGTAAAGAAAAGGATTTGCACAAGAATTAAGTGGTAATATAAATATAGTAAAGACTTTGGCCTCTTCTAATGAGATCAGATTAAAACCAGACACTGCTGTCAATGAAAAGAAAGCTATTGGAGCCCAACAAAGGAAATCTGTGAATACTAAGAGAGCCATTCGTTTAGCAATTCGAGAGTCATTAGAATTCCAGGCCTAAGGAAAGGTATTAAATATAAGATTAATGTTTTGTCAAATCATATAAATAACTAATCAGTTATACCTGAGATCCTCTGATAGCGCAATACATTCTTAAATAGCAACCCATTAATACAAGAAATGCCACACCATTTATGAGGATCAAGAAAACAACGTAAGTCAGAGACCAGACCGAGTCTTCCACTTCAAATGGCAGACATACAGCAAATTTGCGGTAATCACTAATGCCTACTAAAGGTAATATAGCCATCGAGATAGCAAAAGTCCAGCCGATAGACATTATATATGAGGCATGCTTTAGGGACAACCGTTTGTTGAGATGCATGGCATGAGTGATGGCATAATTTCTTTCCATTGTTATGACAGCTAATGTATAAACTGATAATTCACTGCTGAATACTCCAAAAAATCCGGCCATTTGACAGCCCCACGATGTTTGCCATCTGATTGCATATATCTTAAACTCGCCTAACGTTGAAGCATCCACTATAGCCAACACTCCCAGATAGACACCCATAAAAAAGTCAGCGATAGCCAGATTGCAAACCAGAAATCTCGGAACATCTATTTTGCTTCTACCAAATATCAACACAACAACTACCACACCATTGCCTAACAAAGCCATTAAAAATACTATCCAAACACCACATCTCAATGTCCACCAATCAAACAAGTCTTTGCATGGCATGAATGGACCTATCAATTCAATATTAGTCAATAAATAAGATTAAAATAGTATTCATAAATACTAGTCATGACATACCTGGTTGTGGCAAACAGTGAACAGGAAAACTTGTGACAAGACTTTCATCTAAATTTGGATTTGGTTTGTAGTCTTCAAAATACTGTTCTGCATATTCAGCGATATTATCGGGAATGACATAATCGCGGCCAAAGTTTTTCCACAACTGGTTAGCAAACTCTTCAAATTTGGTCGAGAAGTTGACATAACCGGGCCATACATCAGTCAGATTGGTGTTCCACACGTCCTCTTTGTCGAGCCATACGATCGACTCCTCCAACGACTTCGGGTTAATTGTTGGCGAATGGGTTCTTCCAATATAAGCGCAACAATGATAAGCATAGGAAAGGGCTAATGTATGCACTTTAGGAAATGTCTCAATCGGTGGAAACTCTTTTAAATTAGGATTTCCATAGACTTTGATTTCTGTTATATTTTGTAGTCCTTCTGTAGGCAGTGTTGAGAAACGATTGTCCCCTAAGTTTCTGAGTGTCGATGAATACAATTATTTAAAAAATACAACAAATTAAAAATATTATATATTTTTTAATAAGTCACACAAATTACTTACAAATCTTTTAGTGAAACTAATGGTACAAATGCTTGTGAATGTATTGTTGTTACGCGATTGCGGACTAAATTTAATACTTTAAGACTAGAGAGTCCATTGAAGGCATGTTTGGGAATATCGGTAATCAAGTTATGACCCATAAATAAGTCAATCAATTTTGATTGATTGGAAAACATAGGTCCGCTTCCAAATGATTTGATGCGATTATAACTTAAATCTCTAATTGTTTTATATATAAAAAAATAGTTAGAAGTCGTTTATCAAATTTTATATTATTGAAATATTGATTGTTATAATATATACAAAATATCTAATTTAATTAAAAACAAAATTAATTTACGTACAAAAGTTTGAGTTCACGACAAGTGCTGAGATTAGGCAATGAATTAATTTTATTAGATTTAACAATTCTGTAGTAAATATATATAATATAAAAAATGCAATAATTAATTAAATAAATTTATTTCAAATAAATTTTCGGATAATATTTACAGGCTTTTTAAACGAGGTGTTTGTCTGCAGAGTGTCTCAGGAATGGTGTGGAGCTCTGCCCTATCGATCTTCAAGTGCTCTAATGAATTGGTACCCAAAAAGTTTGGCAACTCTTCTAATTTTCTTAATTCTGATAATGATCTGTAAAATAATATATATTTTTATAAAGTATTTAAGCCAATATTATTATAATTAATATAACAATTTAATCTTTAAAAATCTACTAAATTAAGTAAATGTCATTAATTTATAAAATATTTTAATATTTATTTATTATGTTAATTTTATATTAATTAGTATATTTATTGCCATATAATATATATACTATATATTATATATATATATATATATATTGTGTGAGTCATTTAAAATCTTAATTCAGTATAAAGTGTAATTTTAAATAGTAAAGTGTAAATAAAATAAAGCTAATAAATATAATATAAATATGTTTTTTATATTTAATATTTAATTATGATTTAATATTTGTGTTTAAAACTTACAATTTTTTAAGATTTGGTAAATTAGTGAAAGTATCAGAAGACACATCTTCTAAAGGATTGCCTTTAATCTCAATAATTGTCAAAAAAGGGTTATTTTTGAATGAAATACTTTCCAAATATTTAATGTGATTATTAGCGATAGTCCTTAAAAAAATAATTAATTAGAATTATTTTATTTTTTTTGTAAAAATAGTTGTATTATATACTATACTTACAATTCGCGTAATGAATGTAATGTTGAAATAGCATTTGGCAGTGATTTCAATAAATTATCGTTAATTTCTCTAAAATGTTTTTTGTTGTATTAAATATATTTAATACAATGTTAATCAATGACAATATCAAAATACATACAATATTTTAAGTGATTGCAAATCATCAAACGCTTGTTGGTCAATGTCATCAATTTGGTTGTTATGCAAATCACTAATTATTTATAAAAAAAATATTATATAAATAATTATATAATTTTGAATACATAATACTGTATGTAAGTTATGGTGTAATGCATACAGAATTGCCAACTGTTTGAGTCCTTTGAATGCAAAGTTATTGATAGTCTTAATTTGATTTCCCGATAAACTCCTAAATAAAAAAAATCATATTATATTTAATTATATATTTATTATGCAATTTTATATAACACTTACAGAGCTTCAAGATTAGGCAGTGATTCAAATATATTTGTCGGCAGTCGTATCAGTCGGTTATCATTAAGCATAAGTCGCTTCAAATTACGACCGAAGAGACCACTGAAGTCATTATTAGAAAAGCCGGAGATTTTATTTTGATTAAGAATTCTGTGAATATTTTGTGTAATTATTATTTGATTTTTTATAATTAATAACAAAATAGTCAATATTTTGTAATAAATTTTAAAAATAAACATAAAATGTAAAATATTAGATTATTTTAATGATAAAACATTGTTCATTGGTCTAAATCTAATTTTACAATACATTAAATTTTTACTCTTCTATAGAATACATAATGTATTTCATATTTTTTAAACTTTATATATTAATACAATTTATGAAATATAGTATAAAATTTTATTTATATTTTAAATATTCTCTATTTATATTTATATGAATGCAACCACTTTTGTATATTAAATCAAATTTCAATGCAACCCTCAAAATATTTTATACAATAAATAAGTTTCATATAATTTATGTGCTAAAAATAAAAAATAATTTTAAAGACAAAAATTTATTTTGAAGACTCATAGAGATAGCTCTTTGTCTTAATCATGACATAAGATCTTAAGCCACGATTCGTTGCACACAATTTGATAATTAATAGCAATAAATAAACAAAAAACAAAACAATATATATTGTTGTATATTATTGCATCTCATATATCGCTTTATTTCTTATTATTATTTATATGTAAGTTATTTTCTGGTTATTATTTATGAGAATAATATATTTTATAAACAATGTAATAATTTATATAAGTTAATAATTCTTTAGTTTATTCTATAAAAATTTATTACATATGAATTATATATTTTTGTTATAGTAATAATCAATTTTATAAAATGAATATCAAACAAATTTTATTATTAAAAAATGATTTCAAATTAATTAAGTTATAAAGTATCTATAAAAATTATTTTATTAATATTATTTTTTTATTAAATTTTTAGTTTTCAATTCTTTATCACATGCAATATCACAATTGCTAATATGTTTTATTTATAATTATTTTATCTGATTTAATATAAATACCAAATTTTTAAATATACAATCGTAAAGAATTAATATATTCTGTTAATTATTTTCTAATAACAACTGAATTTTAAAAAAATCGCAATAAAATTAACGTATATGTTATTAAAAAATAATTGGTAAAAAATCAGTTTTATTTTTTTTAATAAAAAAGAATATCAGTTAAATTAATCAATAATTGATAATGTATTTTAAACTTTGAAAACATTTTTAGCAATTTATTTATTTAATCGATTTACAAAAATATTGAATTTTAAAAAATCTTATTTAATATGATATAAACAGAAAATACAGAAAGAAAATGAGAGTGAGTGAGAGTGAGTGAGTGTGTGTATGTGTGTGTGTGTGTGTGTGTGTGTGTGTGTGTGTGTGTGTGTGTGTGTGAGAGAGAGAGAGAGAGAGAGAGAGAGCTGAAAATGAATTAAACTATTGTATAAATGTGAAAATTTTTATGTCTCTTATCTCACTTTTTTTTGTTTATATTTAGTTTTTATTTTATAATTTTATTTCAAAAAATATTATTTTTGAACAAAAATAGCATTTATATTTAAAAAGAAATTTAATTTTATTATAGAAGTAATCTTATTGTAATATTATGTCTCTGCAAATGTTTTGGTCGACCCATAAAAGATATTTTTATGCCTTTTATGTCTATTTTATTATACATTTTACTGTACTTAACATAACAAAGAATTATACAGACTATTCTCAATATATACATATTTTTAAATAATTAAAACATTGGGATATATATTAATATGCTATTTACTAATATCTATGTTAAGTATTAAATATTTTTTTATAATTCTATAATTATTTTTATATTTCGTAAACCACTTTGTTAGTAAATTAAAAATAATTACAATTATATAATTTTTAAATAATACAATATTACATAAAATTTTAAGATGATATCTAAATTGTTAATTAATAAAATTAAATATAACTATAAATTTGATATATTTTTTTTATTGAAGTCTATATATAAAATAAAAATAGAAAAAGATATGCATTTAATTTTAACTATTAATGATGTATTATGAAATAAATTGATAAACTTATCCATTTCCATAAACAATTTATTTAATAGATAAAGTTATTAAATATCAATTTAAATCATTTCATACAATTATTATACTTATCAATGTCCATTTGAAATAAAAATCTATATTAACTAAAACATAAAAACTAATTTTTAAAAATAATAATTGTTAAAAAAATAAAAAGTAATAAAACCAATTGCAGTATTTATAATATTACATTTCTGTTATTATGAAAAATGTTTCTCATAAAATCATTGATTTTTCAATTATTTTTTAAACTCATAACTTTTATATAAGATTTTTTTGACCTGTAATTTCACTTTAATTAGATATTAAATTTCTAACTCAAAAGTACTTATTTAAAAAAAATTATTAAATGTTTCACATTAAATATTTTTTAATTATATTTTTTAATTTTAGACATGTTCAAAAAAAGAGTCTAATAATTTATTATATAAAAAATTTTCAAAAATAATATTTATAGAAATAAAGTATATAAAATGTATGAATTTTATAAAAGTAAATCTACTAATATACTAAATTAATGAATTGAATTGTATATAATACAAAACTAATTTGAAAAAATAGTAATTGTGTTATACTCTAAATTGTATTTTTATATCAGTATTTTTTACTCACATACAGTAAATTTTTAACACATTTTAAAGAATATTTATTTTGATAATAATTCTAACAGAAAATGCTATGAAATTTAAATTTATTTTTTTATAATTTTATTTTTTAACAAATTTAATTATTTTTATATCTTCTTCTTATTATTTCTTTTTTTTATCAAATAATACTATTAATTGCATTAATGGATTAAATGTGTAATATTTCTTTACTTTTACTAATACTCGTTGCAATAAATTTAATGAATATGTAAGAGATATAAATATATAGTTACTGTATTACAGTAATGTAAGTCATAGAAGATATACTATTAAAATATATGAAGATTAGGGGAATTTAAATGCTATTGTCATTACTTACATCAAAGTGCTAATGGATTTGTAAACATAAGAAAATAATGAATGCCTAATAACTTAATTTCAAATGATTTATCTGATAGTTTGTATTAATTAAAGCAATTTAACAATTTATTCATCAAATTGTTTTAATTAAAATTATCTGAATTCAAACAAAATTTAATGAAAATTTTTATAAACAAGAATAATACCTAATTATTTTATATAATAGTCGTTAAAATCAACAAAAATATTAAATTAGTAGAAAATAATTCTAAAAATGATTATTTATTTATAGCATTATAACATAAAAATATGATTAATAATAATATTAATATTAAAAACATGAAAACATGTCAAAAATGTTGAATCAGATTTTTAAAAATAAAATTAATACAACTAATATGTAAATGAAAGTTATTTTAATATTACGTCTGTTATATAATTTTAGATAATAAATCAATTTGACTGCAATAATACCAGACATTGTGCCAATTATTCTATGAAAATGGATGTCTAATAATAATAATAATAATAAATGTAGTAATAATAGATTCTTAGTTGGTATATAAAACTAAAAAACAAAATTATGTTGTTTTGTGTTATGTTTGTGTCTCTGATTTAATTCCCGGAAAGAGTCATCAGTTGCTATATTCTCTATTTTTGGACAAATTTTCTTTTCTAATATATTGATAGAAGTATTTCGTATATATATATATATGATATATACAGTACATTATATTCAGAAGTAAAGTATAGTTAGTGAACAGTTTATGGGAAGGAAGAAAATCATAATCCGAATGCTGAGAATCACAGAATATCACAGAATATTATAGAATATCACAGAATAAGGTTCAGCTGTTTTGGTGTGTTGTCTATGTTTGCCATAACTGAGTCAAAGATCATAAGAGTTAGTACTGAATAGTCTATCATATCTTAAGAGATTATATGACTTGTGTGGAGCTCTTTAATGACATAAACAATAGATTTTGATTGCAAACGATAAAAGTTTTTTCTATTATACTTTATATTATATATACATATATACTATACTATACTATAGTACTGTATATTATGACTATTACTATAATTTTGATTCAGAAATAAGTGAACTTTTGTTATAAACATCAAATAATATTTATTTTTATAAATTTCAAACAAAGTTTAATAACTTTCCAAATGACATCATCTTATCTAATGTTTTGTTTTAAATAGTATTTATTATTATTAATCAATATTTATTTCTTAAAATATATTAAAATTACAGTTAAACCACGATTTATAGTAAACAATTTAGAAATAAATATATTTATTTATGCAAAATATATTGTTAATAATATAAATTACTAGTATTTTAAATGATTCTCGAGTGACCCATATTTCAGTATTGCCTTAAGGAATACAATCATAATAAGAGATATAAATTTATATATACTATAAATAATATTAGATAAAAATGACATTTCTTTAGTGTCAAAAATTGATGAACTGGCGTCTCAATGGCGGCCATATGTTTGTTGAATTGTTCAATAAAAGCCACAAATGTCTTGTATTTTGATTCAGTTTTCAAATACAATGGGTTATATAAATATTTTTATACTTAATTATTATTTATAAAATTTTTTAAATATATTTTTTATTAACATACTGTATAACTTAAGATGAAAATTATTTAATTTTTTATAATGTTAATTTAACTAATAGTTATATTTACGGATAAACTTAATATAAGATATAGTATATATTACATAATTCAATATAATTGTTATATAAAAAATATTTGTTAACAATTAAATCAAAAATGTTATATTATATTTTAAATAAAAAATGATAAAAAATATAAAGTAATAACTATAACATAAAAACTATAATATAAAAATGTCATCAAAATATGTATGTTTGATGGGGTAAATATCCTAAAAATTGTCAATTGAATTGTATAACTAAATATGAAAATAGTAGTACAGGTATTACTACTGTGAATGAAAAATAAATACAATTCATTGATCACTTGTAACTGAAAAACCGATTCATAAAATCCAAAACTACTGTATT